GGGCGTGACGTCACAACGAACGCTAACCGTACCTACTGGTCTAGGCGGATGTCGGAGACGTTACGCAATTGGGCGTATAACTGATGACGTCAGTAGTGACGTCACTCGAGGGAAAAGGCGGGAACGCTGCCAGGCGCCGCCATAGCTCCTCGAGACTGTTGTAAAAATAGACAAGAATGCCATTAATAGATCGCAAAGGTCACGAGGTCTGGTCACCCGGCAGCTGGGTGTTGGGCTTGAGGTCTATGGACCTCGGGAGGGTTCAGGGCTTGTGTGTACTTGCTGGTTGATCAGGAAACTGGTGGTGGCGTCCCTAAGGTCACCACTAGGGCCCAAGGTCACCACTAGGGCCCAAGGTCACCACTAGGGCCCAAGGTCACCAACTGTGTGTGTGTGTACTAACCTAGATTTACTCACATAGATCACCCATATGGGGGTCGAGCGTCTGCTGTTTATCTCTGTCATTCGACCATTGACAGTTCAATACAATGACTCCTTTTCACTCATTTTTTCTTGTCATATTTTCTTTCGTAACTCTGTATTGAATTGTACTACCTGATTGTCCTATTTGAAATGGCCTCACTGTGAGTTTAAATGGAGGTTGCCGGGCTGCATCAATGCATGCTGGGAGCCTAGTCAATCGCAGGCGTAGTTTCAATTAATTATCCATTTATTAAGTTGTGCGTGAGGCTATGGTTAATGTTTCCTTTCAACAAAGCAAATCTTTTCAAATATAATTGCAAAAAGCTATTGAAATGTATTATATGATACAAAGAATGTCCTTATAATCAAACATGTAGTAAATCGAGTCATTTACATTGATGAGTCGTTGGCGCCTTGCTGACTGGCTCAAGTCTGACACATTGTTTCTTAATCACTGGCGAATTGTCTCCTTTTGCTATAACAGAATAACAGAATTTGCATACGCAGTGAGAAGCAGGAAGTGCTGCCTCTTCAACAGCTGTAGTGGCTATAGAGGCATCAGGGGGTGGTAGAGTTATCGGGTGCTAGTCCTTGTTCTTGTACCTAGCTTTACTGTTGACAGATCTGAGCGCCTTGTACTGTTTCCCAGGGCCTCGCGACACAGATCTACCAACAGCTAATTGGTGCACGCCTCTCAATATTCTTTTTTTCTGGGACCGCTGAAGTTCTTTTGAGGTGTGAAAGGTTTTCAACCTTTGTGGAAGCATCATTTAATGTCCTTGACCTTGTAGCCAGGTGGTGCTACGGGATCAAGGTGCTACTGTTTGAGATAGCTAATCTTAGTGTACACTACGGTACTTAATATTGTAGGAACCAGTAAAGTACATAGGACGACATGTAACGACGTATATAACCAGGTCTGTGTTCATGGGAGGAACGATGACTCTGAGAGCTAGATAGGAACATTTACTTGGTGCGGTGGACCGATATCCGTCGAAGACTTGTACCGATACCCGTGCCACACGGGGTTCGTTCCTGTCTTCCACAAGTGGGAAGTGCTGAAATTGTATTTTGTATAGAGTTGCTGATCAAGACACTCACTCAGACAAAACACTGGATCACGCACTGCCACAGAGGCTGATACCATACTGTAACGCACTCAAAGGGCAACAGCTTCAGGTTCAACAAGCCATAATGTAGGACAGAAAACAAGAAATGGTTTTTCACCCATAGGGTAATATACCTTTCGAATCGCCTACCTGCCGAAGCTAAAAATTCCAAGACAATACCTCAGTTTAAAAGTAAGCTGGACAAAATCCTCAGACATTATAAGGGGACCTGTAACTAACCACCGACCTCTTGTCCCCGTCGAGGCCACTAGAGATGGTGGCCCTCAGATAAATATGACTGATTTGTGAGCCGTCGTCCATCTTCTTGTGGTTATCTTGTGATGATTTCGGGGCTTAGCGTCCCCGAGGCTCGGTCCCCGATCAGGCCTCCTTTTTGTTACACATCCCCAGGAAGCAGCCTGTAGCAGCTATCTAACTCCCAGGTACCTATTTTACTGCTAGGTAACAGGCGCATTAGGGTGAAAAAACTCTGCCCATTTGTTTCCGCCTCCACCGGGGATCGAGCCCGGAACCTCAGGATTACGAATTCGAAGCGCTGTTCACTCAGCTGTCAGGCCAGAGACGAGAGAAACCCTAATTATCTTGGAAACGCTTGAGGAACGTAGACAGCAACTGCTAAACACCTTTTCTGTACTATACAGCGATAACCAGTGATTCACCTCACGTTACTTGGGACTTGAGCCATCCAGGAAAATCTGGACTGCTGCCACTTTGTAAACATTGTTATATATTATGTTCCGTGTGTGAAGGAGGTCTTCTATGTTTGTTCAGAACCCCCATATGTCAGCAGGGTGTTCCAAACAACACCCTGTTGACATATATATATATATATATATATATATATATATATATATATATATATATATATATATATATATAACAGGGTGCTGTTTGGATGACATATATATATATATATATATATATATATATATATATATATATATATATATATATATATATATATATATATATATATATATATATATATATATATATATATGTGTGTGTATCCACGATCATTCACTAAATTAATATCGAGGACTAACCAGATGAAAACTAAAAAGACATTTACCTTATATGTGTTGCCCGATTGCATCGTAGTTCACTATTATATTGTTTCACAAGGTTATATATAGCAAGTTATCCGGTTATACACTATTTCACGGGACGTGGGTTTTACATCAACAAAAAACTTGCAATTAGTGAAGAACACAGTAAGTGGGTCACTCACAAAGACACCTTGACTCGCAAGCAGATAGATATGTCGATGACAGAGGGTTTATGAGGGGTTTAAATATACAATAACCTCACTGTACAAACTTACCAAACGCTCCAATGATTCAGTCTGTGACCATTATCCTCTAGACGGTGTATTTGACACTAGTAATTAGCACTTTACAAAGCCAGGAGCGTAGAGCAACATGGCCGCCACTTGCTCGACCAAAGGACTGCCTTATCCTCCGTAATCACAATTATGGCGGCCATAAATTCTCGTCGCGGAAGTTTCCTAACGTTTCGTCCCTTATCACTGTGCAATATCCACATGGCGAGTGTTGAGGCTGGCGAGAGCTCTCACAAAGATGGTTTCAGACCCGAATATCGCGTACAATTTCGCCGCAAATTGTTTTATTTTAGTATTATATGATTTGCCTGAATTGTTATCAAAACTTTAGCCCATAATTTGGATAGCCAAGACTCGGTGAACATAAGCGGCATTAAGTGACGGTGTAAAGTTTGTAAATGAAGTACATAAATCAACGATTAGATAAGGAAAAAGATATGGACAAACGCGCCTTAATTCTTATAAGTGTACAGCAGTGTTAGCACCATACAGAGCGTACAATAATACAAAAGAAAATTCGTGAACTATGTATCTATCAACACAATAAAGCCTAGTACAGTATACAATTTACCTGACCTTCAGTAGAATGACAACTGGCTTGTCTATGTACGGCCCTTACTCAATGGACGTGACACCAAAGCTTCCATTATATTATTTTTCAAGACTAATGTGCTGCAGGAGATGTTATATATAAACAAAACTAGCAAGAAATATAGGAACCTCTCGGAGACGGAAAACAAATATGGATTCTGAACCAAGAAGAAAGCCCTGCATCATATTATCACAGGTTACAATGCTTATTCTACCTATTATCTTCGCCGGGAAATTTGAAGGATCTCTGCTACGTATCTTGAAATAACTTATGTCAATCTTTGAATTAAATTTAAATTTAATTAATACGACCTATTTTATTTATACAATTACAACGCAATACGGGTAAGCAAGCTGGATATTTACAAATGACAATATATTAATTATACGAGAAGAGTAATACGACCTATTTTATTTATGCAATTACAACGCAATACGGGTAAGCAAGCTGGATATTTACAAATGACAATATATTAATTATACGAGAAGAGGCTATGTTTTTTAATGATAGGCGTGAGTACTAAGTCCATGAATTGGGGTATTTCATATGACTGCTGTGATGATGATGATAGCAGCAATAATAATAATAATAATAATACCAATTTGTCTAATTAAATTTACACTTCACTAGGCGGAGTTTACGTAGAAGTTTTAAAGCTAGAACTGTATTTTCTGTTAACTGTAGCAATGCGGGGAATTCTCTAGATTCTCAACTGGTATTGAATATTCATGTGTGGTGCTGGCCATATATTTATAAGGCTTTTCAATTGTTGAAGTGAAGACATGTATTTTGGGTAGTCAGATGCCAAAATGCTGTCCATAATTTGACCTATTTCGGGAAATACGATCGTCAAAATTGCCCCGCTCGTGCAAATATCTATCTATATATGGTATTCACATATCACACATAAGAGAGAGAACTGAGAGAACTTACGTTCTCGCTCACTGAGAGAACGTGAGTTCTCTCAGTGAGCTCTGAGTTCTTATCTAAAATATGCCAAATTGAGTTAATCTCAATTTGGCACACTGAATGACGGTGTATTTTTAATCTGACGCAGGCGAACATCATCAGTTCATGCATATTAAATATACATATAAGTTGTTAGAGCATACTGTAGATGGAATATAGATGGCTTATATGTTATTTGTTTTGATGAATTTAAACCCGAGCTCAGATATCCTTCTCTTACTGTGGAACACCTAGCGGAGTGGATATCTTATCAGGTAAAACTATGTGATAACAGCGGGGAGTTGCAGCTAAGGCATCCCTCGCATGCAGTACATGAATGTACTAAGATGAATGAATGCATCAAAGATGCCAAAAAATGACTAATATGGAATCTTGCGCCTAACTGAACTAGAGGGCCAGACGACAGCGGCAACTAAATTCTACAGTATTGATAATTTGAAAGGCAACTGGCATAATCACCTCCCTCTCAAATCGCTATAGATTACAACCTACTTGCAATATCTAATCTTTCCTATCGCTCAGTTACTCATTACAATGTTCGGGCAAGCAGTGATATTCAACCCAAATAATGAACGAAGGTCTAAGACAAACTGGGTTGTCCAGTAAGCATTTGATGGAAGCGGAGCATAAGGCTACAGGAGGAGCTCCAAGAACCGACAAGCCCACAGTCAGCCCTGAGGATTATCCAAGCTGTTTACACGGAAGACCCCAGCAGTAGCCCTGGCACTACCAGCCTAGCCCTCTGACACTACCACTTCTACTGGTGCAAGGTCGGTCAAACCCTTGGGTATAATATCACCCCGTTCCCTTCCAGGGGCCAGGGACAGTTAAGCATTTTTGCAGCCAGAAACTTGGACGGGTTTGTTTACATTTATTAAGCAGTTTTACGAACTTCTAAGCATCATAATCCAAGGTTATAATCGATATAAAAAACCTCGTAGTGTTTCGAAACTCATAAACTGTTTAATAAATGTAAACAAATATGTATATACTTGTTTACATTTATAAATACTGTAAAAACACTCTGGGTACAGCACAAGAATATCTTCCAATATTCCTGAGTGTATGAGGTACTTACAAAGCTCAAAATATCTCATACCATTTGGTCTGAAATCAATGATAACAGGGCAATTACAGATATAGTGGTGAAGAGAATGTCCCAGATCTTGTTCACATAGTTGCAAATGATTTAAACGAACACAGTATTATTTAAAAGATCTGTACATTCTTGTTACTGACCATGCAGTGTGAAGCAATGACTGTAGCTGGGTTGTAAACAGCCACAGTACAGTTCAAGTATGCTTATTGAGACAAGAAAGAAATACATCTCAAAGGGATAGAGTAGCTTAGGCTATTTCTACCCCCCCCCTCCCAACAGTACGGTGCCTGGTGGTTACCCATGTACACACTCATTCCTTTAGTTAATCTATCGTACTCTCAGTACCCGAAAGGTTTTTGTAACGATTGCCATGATTTTGTAACGTTATACAAATTTTAATATATTCGAAGTCTTTGGATTGCACTAGTATGTATGTGGCATACAGTATAAATAATAAGTGAAATGTATAGCTCGCAAACATTTTACTTTACACTGCGTTTGCATTGATGGCACGTTATCCCTTGAGCATGTACAGTCTAGAGGGGATCATGACGCCATAAAGCTAACGCAAGGATTAAAGCACGAATCATGTACTTAATACACTTACTATAGGCTATGAACGTTACGAGGCTTACTTTAAATTCGCAAATACCTACTAGCTTTACTAATCTCGATTATTGCTGTTATTGTGGTTTCAGATTCAGCTACTTGGAACAAAAAGTTCCAAGTAGCACAGGCTATGGGAAGCCCGTCAATCTCGATCATAATAATTAATTTATTGAGTACCTCATATCCGTCCTGAGAGCGATGGAAAAGGTTAGTCAAAATAATGGGTTCCTGAACTGAATCCTCAAAGTTGTATAGCGTAAGCAATTTGCATTAATTAAACTAGTTATGCCTGACCTTCATCCACCAAAACTCTTAATATCAGCGATGCTTTGGTCAGGAGGAGCGTGAGGGAGCATGGAAAGCCCGTCCTCCTACGTGGGGCTGCTCCTGGGGCTGGTGGAGGTGAAGTGCACCATGGCAGACCTGAGCAGGGAGCAGAGACTGGACCTGACCAAGATGTGTCACGATGTTATCTGCAGCCGTGACCGGGTAAAGGCGGCTGGCCACGGCGTGCTGGGACAAGTAGAGAAGAACAACGCCAGCGTGGAAATTTTCTTGGATAAGGAGACCATTCAGGTTTTCATTGGCAAAATATTGGTGGGTTAATTGTCTCACTTTGCCTGTCTGGCATCCGAACTCTTTAACAGATTCCTCTTTCAAAATTTATTCCGCAGTCATGTTTTGTAATAAATATTGAGTTTAGAAATAGGCAGCACGAAAATTACTTTTTTTAAAATGCTTTCGAAAACGATAGGAAAATTAGCCGCTTTCTGCTAAGAGTTACTAAGTTTGTAACGACAAGCAAGATATCTGTGTACTATATATGACATCAAAAATATAACGTTAGTGTTCCATGGGTAGTTATTCTCCTCTTCAATCATTCGAGACACTTTTAAAACAAGAGTCCATCAGTTGGACTCTGATATTCCTTTCTATATCAAGTGATGAAGCCTTACTGAGTATGCATCTTTATCCCTTGATGTGGTGTATTCTGACTTTTTTTCCCGTGAAAGAAGAACTCTGACTGCTGGGTCTCTCGACAGATCACTAAGCACAAAGTGGTGAGCATCAGTGTGCTGAACGCCATCCGGGGGACCCAGGGCCAACTAGTCTTCATCGGCCGATGCCAGCTGGCCAAGCAGCGTCTGGCCGTGGTGCTCAACTTCGTCTCGGAGAAACAGGCACAAGAGTTCATTCAGAATTACCAAATGGTGAAGGCTAACTCAGTCGAGACTTTGCCCCCCAACAGGTGAGTAGTGGGGCTGGTGGTAGTGGTGTCCACTTGGTGCTAATGGCGTCCACCTGATACTGGTGCTAGTGGTATCCACTTGATCTATTTCAGTTCACCTGGTGTTTGTGCTCACCTGTCAGGGTTTTAAGGCAGTGATTGTTAGCTCTTGGGGCCCCGTCTCCTAATATGGCACAGTGCTTAGTACGTTTGAGTTCTGTGTCGTCGGCTGCTCTTGATAATCGGAATGTTGTTAGGCATTAGGTATAGTATAATACCTAATATGTATCATACTATAATACGTATAGTATAAACACTGGAACGTAAACATGGTTTACTTGAGCACTGGACTATGTTCAGGACTGATGTATACTCGCTGGTTGGTCAGTAGGGTAATGTGGTGGCCTTAATAACCCTCCAGGGGTTTTCACATCTTCAGCATCATCTGTGCCGAAGCTACATTAAAGAAATATGTTTTCTTGTCAACAGCCAACCCATTCGTCCGCTGCCGAGACCGCCGGGAAAGAAGCCTGCCATCCCTCCACCAGATTACGAGGAAATTATACCTGCAGCGCCCATTGGACAGATCTACGAAGACGTTGATTCACCGCCATCACGACCTCCGAGTCACTCGATGGCCAAGAGACCCCTGCCGGAGATACCACGACCGCCACCACCAGCTCCGAAGTACGAAGCTCCCTACAGGAGTCCTCCTCCTCCTATCCCAGAACGATACGAGAATCCAGAAGAACTAGTGAAGTCATTGCCTCCAACGCGTTTCAGATCCTTCGCTGACCCCAACGTTGATGTGTATAACTGGTCAGAGGACGAGCTCAGCTATGAGGAAGTTGGTGAACAGTATTATGAATCGATAGGGATTGACGTAAAGGATGCTGAGCAAATCTATATGAGTACATCATTGATTAAAGAGGAGGAAGACGAGCCGCAACAACAAGCTCCTTGTGAAAAGCCTCACAAGGAAGAGAAGAAGCAAGAGGAGAAAAAGCAGGCAGAGGTGGAAGAAGAGGAGCCAGAGACGACTTTGGAAGAGGATATTGACTCTTTCCTCAGAGACGAGTATAAATTCAAAAGCACTTTTTGGAGGATTAGAGAAGCAATATTTTCGCTCTCACGTGAACTACAGATTCTCCTTCGAGGGACGGAAATGCTGGCTGACATCCAGAACGACATGTATGTGGAGCTGCATGAGGGTTGTAAGTCACCTTCCAGAATCGCCCAGGTATTCATTTCCCGGAAAGCTCAATTGGAACGGTACAAATACTACTTATTGAACTCCCCGAAAATCAGCAGACTCATAGAAGCACAGCCTGAGGGAGTGAAGCAGATGTTCCCTAGGTTACAGGAAGATGTAAGAAGTTCCTGGAAAAGGTTATATTTCTACTCCAAGAGCATGGAGAAGATGCTGGCTACTGCTCCTCCTCAAGACGCACCAATCATCCAGGAAGCACTCCACATGCTTAGGGACCTAACCCGTCAGGCAGACTCGGGTATTTTGATGGACGCAGTCAAGGGAGCCCCCTTCAACCTCCACGATCTTGCTCCCCTGTTTCTTCACAGTTCTTTCCACATAAAGAGCTCATCCTTGGAAAAGCGAAAGACGGACTACCGCGTGCTGCTCTTCGCGGAGTTGCTGGTAGTGACGGTGCCCAGAGTGGATAAATACGAGTACGTAGACTTTATTCCCACTAGAAGGTTAAGAGTTCTGCCTACGAAGGACGAAAGAGCATTTGTGCTCGAGACAATGTATCCAGGGGAAAGGGAGCCAAGAAGCTACGGGTTACGCGCTCCCAGCGTGGAATCTAAGCAGGTATGGATAAAGATGATGAAACACATACTAAGGGAACACAAGGGTATGTATGATCACAGAAAAATATCAGGCTTACGCAAATAGATGCATTTGTCATGTCGTTTTGTAGATACTGTGAGTAATGCAAGGGTCTGTCTACAAAAATCTGAGACTAGGATGAGCTTTAATGAAACATTCAAGTGATTTTTAGAATAATGAATTCAAAGTGACGATAATTTCACCATTTGCCGGAGAATGTTAGTGTTAGATGGTGTCATCATGGAAGAATGTTTAGGTATGTGTTTTTTTATATATCTGGCAACATGTATTTGTTTTGTGGCACATGTGGCAGCACATCTGTCTTCTGGTACACAATATGAGACCATATCTACATTTATATACATGAAGCCTAAGTATATTTTCTGACATGTGGATAGCGAAACGTGAATTTATATGTACAAAATTCAAGTTATATACTAATTTGGATAATATTAACTAAGCAATAACATAAAATCTATAATATATTGATTCCCTTTGTAATGATGTGATAACTATACATTATTTGCACTATAAATATACTTAATGTTAGTGTAACCAATCCAGAGAAAACTTTGGACTAGGCTTGAGTTGACGAATGCTGAACATGGAGTTGGATTATTGCATAATAATAACATTATGTACTGTGTGGTGACTTCATTGTATATGCTGCCGCAAGAATCGAATGAAAGCTTGTGAGATATTTCTAGATACAAGTAATGTTAATACCCAGTTTTGCAATTATGTTGTTATATGACGTGAAAAAAACTTTTCACGTGGTAAATGACTTGAAGTGGCGATTTTGGGTCCCATCTTGTTCTTTATATTAACGAAAGGCTGCTTTGTTGTAACTCATTTGTAAATAAATGTGGTAACGCATAAGACCTGATGTTATTTCAGCCCCACCAAGACGGCCATGACACTTCTACAACCCGTCCTCTCCACTTGTCACAACGTCATGAAAATGATGGACTAAACTGCCCGAACCTAACCTAACCGAGGACCCACGAATAGAAAACGGGACATCACGTCAATTTTGCGAGCTGCTGTGATTTATAGTGCATCATATTTTAATAACGTTGGAGATTTTGACGTCAAAATACGATGTAGTGATCTAGAGGACGGGTTGTGACTTAAGTTATAATGAGATATAATTCCCTTCGTTGGTGACAGGAAGCCTGTATTTACAGTAGGCTTATCGAGGTAGGCTTATGTATTATAACTACTGACCTTCCTCAGGATGCAACTCACAACGGTTGCCTAACTCCTGGGATATCTATTTTTTGTTATGGGAGCACACACACACACTCACACACACAGTTCCAAAGTGTATTTGTACAAAATGAGCATTTCATAGATCCGGACCTAATGCCAATTCCAGAGCACGCCACAGAATACATAGAGGTGTCTCAAGACGAAGTGGAAAAATTACTCAAGAGGCTACGAAGAAATAAAGCAGTTGAACCAATATATAATTATCACTAACTTGACAAATTAAATGTTTGAAAAGTTCACATTTGAGGTAGATTAAATTTGCAACATAATGTCATAAACGAGGGTTTGTGTACACGGGAGATTACATTATTAAGTGGTGGAGCACTTAGCTGATCTCTTGCTGTGATTGGCTGTTGTGGTGAATGTCAACAAAGAATTTCTGCCAATGAAACGGAAGCGCGAGAATGCTACCTTCAGCGTAACAACCCGCCTCATGGGGTGCTGTTCGCCTGTTGATAGTGCAACATAGATGGCGCCAGCTGTATTTTTTTACGTGTTGTTGAACATTTGGCCTGTTGATGGTGTAATTTTATGGCAATAGATGGCATCAGCTGTGTCTTATGGGCTCTGCTAACCTAACCTGCTGATAGTGCAATGTTCTTCCAATAGATGATGCCAGCTGTATTTTTACGTGTTGTTGAACATTGGCCTGTTGATAGTGTAATTTTATGGCAATAGATGGCATCAGCTGTATCTTATGGGCTCTGTTAACCTAACCTGTTGATAGTGCAATTTTCTCTAGATAGATGGCATTGGCTGTATTATTTACCTCCAAAATTCCCGTCAACGCTGAAATACAAACTCCGTATCCTAAGATAAGTAAGGTTAACCTGCTGGTATTAAGTATTTTTTATCAACATTCCTTGAGCTCTGTCTTTACTTTATTCATTCTTGTGGATACGTATCATCATATGACAACCTTTTATAATTTGTGATTGAAGAAGACTGCTACCAATCAATTTGGTGAGACTTTTCTGGCAAATTAGCTTTAGTACAAATTACATAGGATAAAAACTCACACACTTATGTATTTGTGTATTTTATGTAAAGATTTATACTGAATCTTTCGCACTCTGCTGAGTGTTTTATCATTGTCTGAGTGTGTGGTTAGAACGAGACTTACATCTTAACGGCTAATTAACTAATTAACCTTTTTATTTGTTTATTTTACACCCCATACCAATCCTGTAAGTTTTTATTTTTTTTTTGTTTATTATTTTCTACCACAGACGTGGCGACACATTTACAATGCTAACCAGCATATATACATTGAGTGGTAGTGGACCTATACCCATCGCCGAAGCCGTAAATGTGACATCGCCGAAGCCGTAAATGTGAACATATTACTTTAGTTCAAAATACAATTGGGAAAAAAATATATATATATATCCTGCGGAACAATGGGGAACCTTTATCCACTTTGTCAGTAAGCTCGGGGGACCTGATATTAATTATGCAGGTGCCATGACTTCAACACTCATTTAACAATTCAATTTCTTTCTTTATCTGTCACCTTACCACTTGCCTCCACTGACAGAGCAGAGGCACACCCTCAAGCCTAGTCCCTGAACACTCACGGCAAGGCTCATTACCTCAGTCATCTTGGATCAGCAGGATAGGACTCGGGGAGGGTGATTTGACAGTTAAAGCAGACCATGAAACAAGGAAAGGAAACTAGGATTGGCAAACATAGCAGTATGCAAAATAGGGTTGCAGTTAATACTCCAAGTTCAGGATAGCTCACGCTTATCAATTTATTTGTTAATTTTAGACATCCTGTCTCTATATCCCTACTAAGGCAATGGTTACAACATTATTATATATATATATATATATATATATATATATATATATATATATATATATATATATATATATATATATATATATATATATATATATATAACATTTTGTCTATATTTCTAACACATAGTTTGCATATTTTGTTCATGTATATTAATATAACTAAAATAAATTACATAAAAATGAAGGATATATATATATATAAAGGTGTATCAGTTACATAAAGATAAAATTAAATAAAGAAAAATTATATAAAGGTAGGTTTCTCCATAAATTATATATTTAGGGACATTATCTAGGCGCTAATAGCCTCTGAAGCAGCCTCAACAGACCCGGAGAATTGATGCCAATAATTACAGATGATTTGTAAATCCTTATATAACATAATTTTGTCTCTTAAGAGATTTGAGGAGAGTCATAATGCACAATGGTTCCGGTTATCTTCTCACAGTGCATCTGTACAGCATCTGGTCACTTGTGCATGGTTCCTCGCAGGTGTGGGATATCCATGATGGTCCTTATAGGTGTGTGGAATTTTCATGGTGATCCTTGCAGCTGTGGAGCATATGTGATAATCCTTGCAGGTGTGGGACATTCAAGCTGATCCTTGCAGTTGTTGGGCATCCATGGTGATCCTTGCAAATATTAACTTACAAGGTGAACAATGTTTACATGTCTTGATAAGTACTGGAGTAACCCCTTAAAATATGATTACAAATATTATTTACGATTTCCAAAATCAATGAATTTCACGTTTTTTCCCGCATTTTCCTTCAGGAAACACAAAAGTAACATAGGTCCAATTTTCTGTTTTAATTTTCATTCGTTCTTATCTGCCGAACCGTAGCGTTTTGTGACCAAATTTTTTATTTTCTCTGCGTTGGCATGGAGGAGACGCGTGATGGCTTCCACCCACACGTCCCTGGCCTCGGGGCTCGGCGCCCGGAACGTGTATCTTTTGTTCCTCTTTTGCCCTCCAGACATTATCTCAAGATCAAAATCTGTGTTGGTGAAGTAGCTAGCGGCGATGAACTTGACCTGGTTCATGGGTATGTGTTCTTGATACTCGTATTGGTCGTTCTTCGGCACCGTCACCACGATGATCTCGGCAAACAAGAGGACACGGTAGTTTGGTCTAGTCCTGATTGTTAGAGGGCCTTTGATTTTGAAGGCATTGTGGAGAATCAGAGGGCAATAGAGAAGGAGTTCAAAGGGACATTCTTTGACACCATCTAAAAGGATACAGGAGTCTGCTTGAAGGTTCATATCTCGGAGCATCTCCACTACTACTTTAAGTGCTGCCTTGTCTCCCTGTGGGGCACTACCGAGTATCTTCTCCAGACTCATGAAGTAGAAGTGGAGCCTCTTCCAAGAGGTCCTCAGGTCCTCCTGTAGTGTTGGGAGAAGCAGTGTATTCTCCTCCGGCATATTCTTTATATAGGTGTTTATCTTGGGGGCATTCATCAAATAATAGATATAGTGGTCCAGCTTATCTTTTCGTTCTATAAAGGCATTAGCTATTTTAGAACATGATGTGTAGCCTTCGTGTAAATCTATGTACATATCATTGTGAGTGGTAGCCAAGGCTTCTGTGACTCTGAGAAGGTTCTGTAGCTCAGGATTTAGCATTTTTCTTGCTTGTTTTAGTCTTTCGAGGCAACTCAGGTAATCGTATTCATTTTGTAGAAAATATGAAATATGTTCTTCTAGCGTCGAATCAGTTGCTTCTGACTCTATCAACTCTACCATTTGAGATTTCATGTAGATTCTTTCAGTTTCCTTTACGCTAATCCCTAAAAACGAGTAGTACGTTTCGTCGTTCTCGTAGTTGAAATCGTCTTCGTCGTCAGAAGGCCATTGAAAGTCACTGTCGGAAGGCACTAAGCGAGGCGTGAGAGGCGGCTCACTTGACTTGCGCTCTCGTGGAGGGGCTCTGGGTGCTCCTGAGCTCCCGGGAAAAGACGCTGCATGCACTGGAGAAGTCACGTTATAAATTTTCTTCTCTTCAGGCGGCTCACTTGACTTCCGCTCTCGTGGAGGAGCACTGAATCCTCCTGAGCCCCCGGGGGAAAAAGCTACCGGCGCTGAAGACACCATTGGAGAAGTCACGTTATAAATGCTCTTCTCTTCATCGACGCTGGTAATGTTATTCACGTAATGTGAAGCGGCGCCTTTACCTGCACCGACAAACTGTTTGAACTTTCCCTTCATTAGCTTTGCAGTATTATCAAATTTATCTCTAATGACGTTCTGCGGTGGCGGTTTGATCTCCAGGGATGGCTTGGCTTCGTAAGACGGCTTGGTCTCCAAGGAAGGCTTGGACTGAGCAGGAGGTCTAGGTGGTAGTGGTGGGGTGGCTACATTCTCATTATATGGAGGGTTGATGGGAGGCTTACGAGGAGGCAACGGCGGTGATGTTAAGGTCAGGCCGGCTTGAGGCAAAGGAACTGTGTTTTCTGAATATATCGACGAGCGAAGAGGACGTGTCCGTCTGTCCGGGTCGCCGCCAGGGGACGGTGCCTGAGCTACCGGAGACCCTGAAAGTATCAAACTGTTGGACGATTAGTATTTATCTGTAAATATTTTTTTGCAAACATAATACCGTAATTCTATATAAATATTCGATATTAAACAAAGTTTTAGTTTCAACACATAATATAATAATTTACCAGCCATAAAACATCACTTTTGGATGAGACTTTACGTTAGGCTTCAAATTCTGCCTGAGAATCGAACTCAAAACAATCGATTGTGAGCTGCCTGCACTAAACACTAAGAATCTATTGTGCCGGCACTAAACACTGTAAGAATCTATTGTGCCGGCACTAAACACTGTAAGAATCTATTGTGCCGGCACTAAACACTGTAAGAATCTATTGTGCCGGCACTAAACACTGTAAGAATCTATTGTGCCGGCACTAAACACTGTAAGAATCTATTGTGTTTGCAGTCGAGAGGAGGATGAAAAGGTTGTAACCCTCACCTTGGAAGTGTCGCCTGTCTGGCGGCCTTGTATCCCTGAATGAGCGAGTCTGCCTCCTGCTCAGACCACATGTCCAACACCACAGCCAGTCGCTGGGCCTTCTCCTGACACCAGCCAATATAGACTACATGGCCTGAAGTCTTGCGTATGGCCGCCATCACGCTCACTGCCTTCATCTTGTGGGAACATACCTGAAGGCATCATCAAATACATCTTTATTTTTTTAAGTTCTACCAGCACTAATCTTGACTATTTCTGGCAGTTACTGAATAAAATCGCAACCTCTCTCTTCCCCTTACTTTTTTCTTCCCCTCTATTCCCTCTCTCACCTCTCTTCCCCTATGCTCACCCTCTCCTCTCTTCTCCACCCTGTTCCCTCCCCTCGCCCCTTCTCCCACCCACTTCACCTTTTTCCTCTCTCCCTCATCTCCTCCCCTTTCTTTTCATCTCTCCACACTTTCTCTTAATCTCTCTCTCTTACTTCTCACCCCCTCTTATCCTCCTCTCCACCTTTCTCCTCCCTGCTGTCCTTCCCTCTCCTCCAGCACTCTTCCTCTCCTTCATGTCCCTCTGGGAGAGAGAGAAAATTTGGACAACGGGTGAATTGACAAATTACAACGTACAAAGAATGAGTTTGTTGGGGACTGCTCTCCCAGATCACGACGAGTATTATATGGGACACTAAATCACCCACTTGCTGTATATAATCCGGTTTAGGTATCCCTTCAGTGATCCCATAGACAAGAAGCATTGTTGCAATGCTCTTGTTGTGAGAAGCAGGGGAAGGATTCATCGTAACTCACATGTTGCACTCACCAGGTGGTTGTCGCGTCACTCACTAGGTCGCCGTTATGTCACACTCACCAGGTCGTCGTCGTTGATCACCTGGACGGTACCTTCCTCCAGGTGTACCACCACTGCCAGGGTACCAGTCGCAAGGAGCCGCAGGTTCACCGAGGAAGCCTCGCCCACACCACACACGACATCATGACACTGGCGGGCCACGTCGACTCTCTGCTCCCTGTTGAGGGTACCCAGGCCCTGGGTCACCTCCACCAGGCCTAGCAAGAGGGCGTTCCACTCTCGCTGACCCGCCATACTCTCTCAACACACGCCCCTCTGGCGAAAACACAGGGTGGAACTAAGGTATGCTAACATCAGATATGTTTGTCAACTTACTTTAAGACAATTTTTTTTCTTATAACGAATCATCTCAGATCTTCTCAAATGCCTACAATATGTTTTAATATGTTGATCAAACCACACACTAGAAAGTGAAGGGTCTCCTCAACATCTATTTATGCGAACGAAAAAGTCACATCGGCACTGATTCTAATCGACCCTTGATACTTTGTTACTTCTGCGTCTTGTACCTACGTTATAAACGTCACTGGAGCTCCTAATACGTCACTCTGAAGTCTTGTCTCTCGTTGGAGTTGAATAGCGAACAGGAAAACCTGCACCCAGGCATGTTCTCTGGTCTCCAGTCACTGAAGGGATGTAGGTAGCCTCGTCTCAGTCTTGACTATGGGCGGGTGTCGCCACCTAACAATGGTTCGTTCTCCGTGATCTTTTATATGTTTTCTTAATAAGGTATGGAGTGGTTGCACTGAACGCTACTGGACTCTACCTGAACGAGTGACAACGGACCGTCAGATGATTACGTTATCAGTTATACTTAGTATAGTATCTTTCACATGCGTTACCTATCAAAGAGATGCTCATATTTAAAATGACTGGACAAGTAACATAAATTTGTTATCAAACCTTTCTGAAGTTTAAATGGTACGAAAAGCCGAATTTCACGTAATGATGTACGGTATTATAAGCAGGAAATACCTGTGGCACCCTAATTTATGTTGCTCTGATAAGATACCTGGTGCACTTCAAGATAACCATGTTGGCTTTATCTATTTTCGTATAATAATTATAATTCATTTTGTCGGGATACAGGCATCCAGTGTATATATATATATACATATTAAGCTTATTTCGAGGTTCATCCGATGGTCAACCTACCGACAGGATGTAACCCCACAAGAAGCTGATTAACTTATGGGGACCTATTTACTGCTAGGTGAACAGATGCATTAAGTGATAGCAAACGAACCAGACCATTTATATCCAGCCTGAGATTCGAACCCGGAATTCCCGATTGTGAGTCGAGAATGAACCCGACTGTAGTACATCCGAAACTAATAACTTAAGATGTACATTGAAATGTGTTTCAAAAACACATAACTACAAGGGCACATAACAAGCAGGAAAACGCACCTGTTTAACCTACACAAACCGCAAACGTAACATTCAGCCGGGTAAAAATATTAAATACGTCAGCGTCGTGTTAATTTACGTCATTAGAATACATAAGTGTATTAAGGCTCATAAGAAGCGTTTAAATACATATGCTAATGCTAAATTATACTTAAGGGTATATATACTTAATATACTTAATATTTGATATACTCTAAATATACAAACTATTCTTAATACTTTAAATATACAAAATATACTTTAAATATACAAAATATACAAAAATATACTTAAGTATATACACGATAGGCTAGCCGTTATACAATTACTGAAAGACTAATCGAAGCTTGCCAGATATACCAGTTAATATGAATAAATATATACAGTTTTCACTGATCTATCAAGTTGGCAGCGAGTTATGACCATTTCAGGCAGTCAACAATACCAGTAAATAAGTTATTTACTTGTAAATAAGTTATTTACATGATGTGGTGAGGCTTCCCCTATTAATGTTCACGCTAAGGCAGGTCACCTTTTAACATTTAATACATTTACAATATAACGTATTCGCAGCTAACTAATGCTTCATCACGATGTGATAGACCCGAAAGTATTATGATTAAGTTTACCTAAAGAGTTTTCTTGATGCAGTGGACAAATGTGAGGGATAATTAACTTTGTCGCTGACTTTGTAAAGCTGCAAGTTTGGCAATATATATATTCTTTAAACAACTCTAAATGTTGCATTATTTTTGCTTTTTAATTTAAGTAAAATAGCCACGTTTTAATCTATCTTGTGTTATACTGCCGCGGGGTGCAGGTAAAAAATGTAAATATATGATGAGATTCAATTTCAATTTTGTGTTGTGGTGTCTGTCAAGGCTGGGAGCTGGGGCCAACACTGCTAGTGTTTCTCCTGTCAGTGTTGCGTCTCTTGTGAGTTATGGGGGATAAACACAAGCAATCTTCGAAGAAGATGCTAAACATGCCCCCAATCGGCATCAACTTCACCAAGGTGAGTTTTAGCACGTGTGTGTTGTCATGACAGGTTCCTAGAGTGCTGTCAGGCTGATCATGACAGGTCCCCCGAGTACTGTCAGGCCAACCATGACAGGTCCCCCGAATGCTGTCAGGCTGACCATGACAGGTTCCTAGAGTGCTGTCAGACCAACCACGACAGGTAATCACAATGTCGTCAAGCATAGGGACTCATCAGCTGACCGAGTCAGCTGATGAGTGTAAACAAATCAACTGTTTGCGGGTAAACAAAGTGCTGTATTGTTTTATGTTTAAAACATAAACGAAATGTTGCCAATGACTTTGTGGTCTTGCGCCAATGCCCACCCTTGGCTTCACAGGAATTGTATATCATGCTAATGTTAAAACCGATAGTTTCTTCTGTATATATATTTGTGAATAGTAAAAAATATAAACAATTTCTGCAAAGAAATCTATGGCTGTTAGACTAGGATGTTGGCCATACGTTTTGGGCTGGCTTCACCTGACTTTTCAACATGAAACATGGATGGTATGTTGCCCAATTTTAATTAATTATTAAAAAACATATATAAATATAAATACAATATATATATAAATATATAAACCAATATGATGATATTTCCTCTTCCAGAATCATTGCGAACTCACTAAGCAGATAAAGAACGCCATTAGGTTTAGAAATTATTACGTGGATAACCCTGACCCAGACAAAGATTTTAAGGTGGAGAAACAGCTGTGTCACTTGGAGATCCCTATTGCAGGAGAGGTGTCAGACATCGTTGTTAGCCGACTGCGCAAGTTCTGCTCCAAACACTACTATACAATGGACTATTTTTTTATAACTACTTCGGTAAGGTTTGTAAGCTAACTCTTTCTTTAAAATTATGTACAGTGTAATATATATATATATATATATATATATATATATATATATATATATATATATATATATATATATATATATATATATATATATATATATATATATATGTCGTACCTAATAGCCAGAACGCACTTCTCAGCCTACTATTCAAGGCCCGATTTGCCTAATAAGCCAAGTTTTCATGAATTAATGTTTTTTCGTCTACCTAACCTAACCTAGCTTTTTTTGGCTACCTAACCTAACCTTACTTATAAATATAGGTTAGGTTAGGTTAGGTAGGGTTGGTTAGGTTCGGTCATATATCTACGTTAATTTTAACTCCAATAAAAAAAAATTGACGTCATACATAGAGAAAAGGGTTGCTTTATCATTTCATAAGAAAAAAATTATAGTAAATATATTAATTCAGGAAAACTTGGCTTATTAGGCAAATCGGGCCTTGAATAGTAGGCTGAGAAGTGAGTTCTGGCTACTAGGTACGACATATATATATATATATATTTTAATCACCTCTTTATCTTAAGATTCTCGACAATGGACACTAATTTTGGAAATCTGAAAATCATTTACAGTGTTTTTCCTGTTATGAAATTATTTATTACATTTATTCCCTGGAAAAAAATTAATTTTATAAAATAAAATTTCCTTATGGATTGAATCCCCCTCTCAGATTTCAGCAACAGAAAAAGCTAACAAAAACCCTCTCCCACTTGTCTCTCTCAGATACCGGTGCCAAAAAACTTAGACGCTGATCTGAAGCTTATTCGCGATCTTTACGAGCGCCTTGATAAGAAACCGGTGGATGTTCTTTATCTAGAAAATCCTGTGGGACTTGAAGGTGCGGGGGATGATACCCTACTTTTTAAATTCAGTTTTTCCTGACAATCAGAACACACACTCATCAGTTATTGTGTTTATATACAGTATAAGTATACATACATTTGTAAACAAAATGTACTCCTTATTTCCTTTGCTGAAATGACATTCCTAAACAAACTTTATGCAATTTTCCGCAGGTTCGGATCCCAAAGGAATCTTTCAGAGGGCTAGAGAGAACCCATACACACGGATGGAAGTCGAGAGGGACATATTTATGCGTGAAGAATATTACGGGTCTTTGCTGATCACTCCTGACATACTCCAGAACTTGTGGGCAGTCTGGCAGTGGTTGACAGACTACGTGAGTTACTCTGGTTGGCTGTGCTGTCAGTCGCTGCTACTTCCACCTCCAGAACCAGACTTTGAGTGGCACTAACGGGAGACATGCGTAGTTTGACCAATAATAAGGGAGCCAAGCCATTGACCCTTATCAGAGCGCGGCACTAATAGGGCTTCGATGGTTTAAAGTGCGCGCGCATGTAATGAATATGTAATCATATATATATTCATGCATGTATGTTTGCGAGTAATGTACACCAATGTTTTCAAGTCATGTATAGCCATGCTCTATTATAGATATGTATGAATAGTTTAGCCTTTATGTATGTTTGGATGTCTTTATATGGGTATTTAGCATGTATGTTATACCACTGTTGTATACGTATAGTCTTCCTGCCAGGTCATAAGAGGAAAGCTGGCCCTTAATCTCGGACTCAAGAATTTCTCGCAGCCTCAAATCGAGAAACTCTTGCAAGGTAAGAACAGATTTGTCATTAGTTCTTTGAAGCATGTTGAAGTATTTTATAATTTTTTGTGGTTAGTTTTGTGAACTGGTCGTTCACTTCACTTGGTCGGTGGATCGATGGCCTCGCTATCCCAAGAAGAATGAATGTAGAAAACTGTTGATAGAATATTAAATTTAAGGATACAAGTCGTTTCACTCTGATAGTGAAACGACTCAGATTCCACTCTGACTATTAGGTGGAATAGCAATATATGTAAGAGAAAAAAATAATTTGAATAATGTTTGAGGGCCCATTATTTTTTTTGTGCAGGAAACATAGTATTAAGTAGAATTATTCTCGCATAAATAGAAGGTGGTCTTGTTGACCAAACCGCACACTAGAAAGTGAAGGGACGACGACGTTTCGACTTGACGACAATCGACGACTATGACTTGAGAATGGTCCAGGACGGACCGAAACGTCGTCGTCCCTTCACTTTCTAGTGTGTGGTTTGGTCAACATATTTCTGCCACGTTATTGTGACTTCTCGTCGGCAGAGGGTGGTCTTAGTTCCTTTTTCGTGTTAACAATTCTGACAGATCTAGGACAACCCAGGATGATTAATCACCAATAAAGCGAAGTGTGTTAGGCCAAGATTAGCAGATATTTCTTATCAGATACGCCTTCCTTCCATTCTACCGAGGTTTGGTGGTCTATGTATAGATATTATTGGCCTATCTTTATCTTCATTTCAGTCGATTCAAATAATTTTTATGAGTGCAGTCCAATTTATGATCCCTTGTTTAACACTACATTTTATATTTTCCTCTGAAAAGTATTGCCTCTTTCCCTCCTTGTCTAATCTATTAGTGAGAAGTAACTTTATCTCTTAATTTTGTATTCTGCCAATAGTTTCTTTCTAGCCAGTCTATTGTTTTTATACACACAGTTGCACTTAATTCATCCAATTTATTTATAAAGTTTCTGTTATTTATATTGTTATGTTTATACCGGTGTTCCCCTCTGTTATCAATAGCCTCAGATATCAATCTTGAATTATTAAAGCCTCACTTATTTTTCTCACTTAACTCAACATTTTTCATTCCCTTTCCAGGCATCACTGTCATGTTTACAATTTTTCCCCCCCTGCCATCATACGCTTTTGTTACCTTCCTGTCCCCCTAAATACAATCTCATACCTCTATCTTCGAGCAGTTTCAACACACACAGACCCTACCAATCGTAGATTCTAACGCAGAGGCAAACGCACTCCAAAAACAGCACACATTTCACTGTCCATAGGAGAGTTTCTAGTTATAAATTAATGATATTGCACAGGCCTTACAGTATTTGTCTAGACGGCAATTTACACCAATATAGCCGTCCTCATATCCCCGCACTGAGTACCATTGTATCCCAGCTCCTAGTCTTCTCATTTCGTGTGATATGTCCCCGTATCGCAGATCTAGTCTGTGCTCATGGCCCACCTCTTAATCTGTCCTCATATCCCAGCTCTTAATCAGTTCTAATAATCCTAGCTCTTAGTCTGTCCTCATATTCCAGCTTTTTAGTCTGTCATTACACCCCAGCTCCTACTGTCATCATATCCCAGTTCTTAATCCACGGGAGACATCTCCCGTCACGCAGGGTGCAGTCGTACCTCCACAGATCTCCAGTATCATCTACTGATATTGGTAATGGCTCAAAAGGGCCACCACCACTTACGGGCTATTCATGCCCGTGCCACCTTTTGGGTGGCTTAATCTTCATCAATCAATCAATCAGCTTTTAATCTGTCGTCATGTCGTGAGTTGCAGAGTGTGAGTGTTTCCCGCGGGTGGTGCAGGTGGAGTTGAACCCCTACTGTCTGAGGGAAGAGCTGCGCCAGATGTGTGCCCAGCGGAACATTGTTGTCTGTGCCATCCACCCCTTTGGTAACCCCCTCTGTGTTCCCAGGTGAGGCAGGAGGAGTTAGGGTGTTGCTATAGAGTGCGCGCGAGGGAAGGTTGGTTGAGTGTGAGGGAGGGGGAAGGTTGCTAGGCTGTGGAGGTGAGACGGGAGATCTGGACCAACAAATTAGCTTACAAGACCTTACAACTCTCTGAAAAGTCCGAAAGATTTGATAAAATAAAAAAAAATCATAAACTAAACACTAAATAAACTGGCAGCACAATCGGAGGAAACTTGTTGATAAGCTTATTAACTGATAGACTGGAGGACCTGGTGGACTAACTGGGAGACCACAAGAATTGACAACCTATATCAATCTCGTTTCAACCCATTTTGCATAAATGATAGTACTTATAGCAACTAATGGTCGAAAGTACAACAATTAACTATTTTTACCCTCTCCCCCTCACCAACCTTCCACTATCCACCCATCCTTTGCACTCTCCTACGAAAAGTTCACATTTTATATTATTGGAATACTGCACATAGAAAACCAACAGAGTGGGTCACTATACAACCTAACCTAATGTGTCTTAGGCCTAAATATGCTATCCTAGGTCTAATATATGTCATTTTAGGCTTTATTTAGTATGTATATGTACTATACTAGGCCTTAGAAAGTTTGTTTGGTTGTTACCTTCTTGATCGCGCCCTCTACAAAATTAATAATGTGAATTATAAAACTTTTTGGGGGTAAACAAGTTTTTTTGTGCAATCGACCTGCTGTAAGTACTATTATTTATGGTGAATAGGTTGATCAGACTGATACATGCAAATTGTAAGCTCAAAGAAAATATTGTTCTTACAATATTTTATCTTGGGAATGGTGCCCAACCACTTGGGCTGGACGGTAGAGCAACGGTCTCGCTTCATGCAGGTCGGCGTTCAATCCTCGACCGTGCAAGTGGTTGGGCACCATTCCTTTCCCCGCCCCCCCCCGTCCCATCCCTAATCCTTATCCTGACCCCTTCCCAGTGATATATAGTTGTAATGGCTTGGCACTTTCCCTTGATAATTCCTTCCTTCCTTCTCTCTGGCGTGTGTGCGCGCGCGTGCACGCGTGTGGCAGTGTGTACAAGACAGCTCTTCCGGACAACAGTGTGGTGAAGAAGGTGGCAGACTACTTCGACATTGACCCCAAGATATTGCTCCTCACCTTCCTCTTCTACTCCAAGATTCCCTTCGTCCTGGATAACGACAGAATGATCGGGATTGGCTGGATGTTACAGGTATGACCATGTATTTTGTTATTCTAAATATGCATTTGTGTCCTGTAGGGTAGTGCTGCTGTATGTTCTCAGCTCATAACCTAGGGCTCTGCTGGGGTTCGATTCCCACGTGGGATGGAGACGGTTTCACCTGATGCCTCTGTTTACACAGCAATATTTGATCTAATTTTAAGTATGATATAATTTTCATCATAACTGATGTTTTCTTTTCTTCAGCACGTCCCGAATATTAAGGTGACGGAGTTCCGGATGAGTTGTCTGGCAAGACTCGGTGATTTCAACCAAGATGTGCCGGGAAGACAGGAACTCTCGGAAACACCGTCTGATGAGGCAAAGTAAGCTGGTTGTGTGGTCGTGAGCATGTCTGTGTATAGATGTATAAATTCCAGAGCCTAGTGGGTTCTGTTATATCTACATTTAAAGATATGGGTGGAGTTTGCCCCCACCATTTTACTTTTTAGCATATTGCATTTGTTTACTGTTTACTGTAAACGCTTTGTGTAATAGTGGCTTTAGGCATTGTATGTACTAGCTCAATAAATTCATCAATATTTGTATCACACCCTGTATGTATGTACTTTACCTGAATAAACATTTGAATTTTGAATTTTAATTTCTGGCAGTGAAGAAATTATTTATATCTCTGTGGCTCATTTGGATACATATCTTTGTTCGTGTAGTAATTCATGCTAAATATCCTGTCCTTACAGTGATAATGTCTCCTCTGCTTCTACTCTCTCTTCCAGTGACGTGAGATTTAACTCCTATAGTCTTTCCTGGTAACTTAAACCTCTCAGCTCCAGATAGACTAGTCTGGTGGCATACTTCAGAACTCTCTCCAGCCTAGTTTTCCATTTAACTTATTATTATTAATATCTTTATTGACAAAATTAATTACAATTTTGCCTAATCTGAGGCAACGAGATAAGAACTCTTCACAGGTGCTGCATATTGCTGAATTGGTTTGTCGTAAATGGAATACAAGATCCTCAATAATTATTTGTTCAGATTCCTAAAGGCAGTTTAGCCAACTTTCCATATGCAGCTGATGATACTCCTTTGATTTAGGTTGCTGCTATGCTATGTTAGCATAGCATAGCTATGTGTGTTAGTGGCTTTACACGAATTTAAAAACATCAATGCTATGTACTCTCATAAATCCAATGCACTTTCTTGTATATATATAAATAAATAAATAAATTATACTTATTATTATTTATGTGAGGCAACTCGCTCTGAAGACGTCAGAAGTTAGGTAGCCAGGCCATTGTTCTATAACACCTGTTATATCCTGCAATATTTAATTATCACTTTATTAATACTTTTAAATAAATAACACTTCACTTTATAGGTAGATTAAAGTCGAAACAGAATGTCATAAGCAGGACTGGTGTGCTGAACAATGATGATTTATTAAATGGGTAGCACCTACACCTGATCCCTTCCTGTGATTGGCTGTTGTGGTGAATGTCAACAGAGTTTCTACCAATGACATGGAAGCTTGGGAATTCTTACTTGAGCACAACGACCCGCCTTATGGGCTGCTGTTTGGCTATTGATAGTACATGGGAGAGGCAACAGATGGCGTTAGCTGTATTTTGATGGCTGGGGGTGTTGATAGTGTAATTTTATTCCAACAGATGGCATAAGCTGTATTTTATGGCTACTATTTACCAGGGTTACCAGTACATATACTTCGTTGTGAACTTCGGTGAACTATGTCAACCTGCAAGTTTTTTTAGCTTTCTGATTCCAGGAATGGTACGAGCGAGTATATCCGGTCTCCTGTTTTCAGTAACTAGGGTTGTGAGATTTATTTCCCTTAACTTATTCTCGTAGCTTAATCCTCTTAGTTCTGACATTAAAATGTGCAAACCTATGTATTTTTCTTATTTTTGTTTTGTTCTTCAGAAGGTACGGTTTCCAGGATGTATTCCGGTATCGATCTAACAGGCTGTGTAGATTGCCTTGAAAGGGTTGATTATTTGGGGTTTTAAATGACGTTCTAATGTTTGCCAGTTTTCCATATGCTATCGATGTTACCATGTTTCACTGTCTAATGCATTCCATCTGATAACTACTCTGACATGAAAAAGGTTCTTTCTAAAGTCCCTGTGGCTCATTTGGGTACTAAGTTTCCACCTGTGTCCCCTTGTTCGCGTACCTCTCATGCGGTACGCGAATATGTGTGTGTTCATTAGCTTTTATTTTGCATTACATAACAAACAAGCTCTCATTTGTTCCCCCAGGGAGAAGATGGATCCACTGTGGCCATTCTGCTTTGTGAAGAGCAAGCACCGTGACGGATGAAGAGAGCGTACAACACGACCTCAAGACTCAAGGCATCAATATATCGACTTTTATGGGACATAAATCCAAAAGACGGTTTAGACCAAGGCGTCCAGGATCCTCGTTTAGTAACAATCATAAAACATACCTTAAATAGAAGACAAATAATAAATAAATAAAAGTGTAACTATAGGAAACCCCACCAATAACCGAAATTATAAAATACATCTTTTCTCCCTCGACAAATTCGAGTTTTAACTTCAGTTTTAACTCGACAGCTTGAAATAAAGTAACGCGATGTTCCAAATGCTATTCGTGTACTTCATAATTTATAAGCGTAACATTTGCATTCTAAACTGTAAAAAGCTGACGATGTCTGTTATCTCAAATACGTAATTTCTTGGTTTCCAGAATTGTTTCAACAATGAAGAGAAGGAAATGCTATAGTGTTGCTTCATTTTCCATGATTTTAATGTCTTTAAATAAAATAAGCAAAAGTTATCGGTGTTTATCCTAGTCTCTTTTTGAAGGAAATTACCATAAACAACTAAAATTTAATGAGAAAGCCCCTAAAATACTTATTCATCATCTGGAGAGGGCTGCCTGGGGATTTTGAAGCTTGTGTAGTGGTAAAAAGGGCTACTTGTGAGTAAAGCGGGTTGTTTAGAGGTGGAGAAGGCTTCCTTGGGGGATAATAATAATAATAATTTATTTGCAAGAAGGTACAATTGGTTGGAGAGATTCCATAAGATTGGTATTTTTACATTCGTGTAAAAGTCATTAACACGCATAGCGTTTCGGGCAGATCCTTAATCTAACATATCAGGTAAGATGAAAGGGTACATTGTAGTAAGGTTCTTAATATCAAGAAAGTTCTACAACATAAGTTGACAGAGGTGATTACACTGGTAATTATATATATGTCTTAAGTACTAATATTGGGGAAGTGGGTAGTACAGGATACAGTGTGAGTTTGAAGCACAAGGTAGGAAACTGAGGATGAAATTAGGTGCTTTTTGGTTTTACTTTTGAGCAGGGCATGGGTTGGATTTTTTTTTTTAATTCATTAGGGAGTGAGTTCTAAAGACTGGGCCCTTTTATTTGCATGGAGTGTTGGCACAGATTTATTCTGACTGGGGATATCAAGGAGATATTTATTTCTGGTGTGCTGCTCATGGGTTCTATTACATCTATCAAGGAAAAGTTTCAGATCAAGAGTAGTATTTTTAACAAGGTTTTGTACATGTTGATGGCACATTAGAATGTGTGGAGTGAGTTGATGACTACATATTGGTGTCTGTCACTGAGATAGGAACGAATGTAGTCCATAACAATGCCTCGGATACCATAGTGGTGAAGTTTATGTAAGAGGTAATTATGGTTTACAGTATCAAAGGCCTTCCTCAGGTCAATGAAGAGGCCAATTGGGAACTCATATTTGTCAAGGGCTGAGTATATTATATCAAACAAACTAAAAATGGCATCATTGGTACTCTGTTGGGAACGGAAGCCAAACTGGTAGGGACTTAGTATGTTAGAGTTTTATAAAATAGGAATATAGCTGTTTGTAAATATTTTTTTCAAATATTTTTGAAAGTATAGGTAGATTTGATATGGGTCTGTAATTTTTGTGTCAGCTGCCTCGCCTCCTTTATGAACTGGCGTCACTCTTGCTTTTTAAGGATATCAGGAAATGTATGACACTAGAGATTTGTTGTATAGCAGAGCTATGGGTGGTGCAAGAGCAGGGGCAGCACTCTTTTTTTTATATCATAGATGGTATTTCATTAATGTTCCAAGCTTTGGTTTTAAGTGATTGAATTTTGGATATAAGGTCCGTCGGGCTGACTGGTAAAAGGAGTAGAGTGTTAGGACAGCTGCCTGTGAGATATGTAGTAACATGTATCTGGGTCTCTGGAATTTTTCTGGCAAGGTTTGAACCAATTGATGAAAAGAAGCTATTGAATTCAGTTGCAATATCTAAATCTGTTGCAAGTGTGTAACCATCTTTGGAGAGTTTTATCTGCTTGTTATGTGATTGTTGTTTAAACCCTAGGATGTTAGAGATGGCTTTCCGTGTACTTTTCATATTTCATTTTGCTTCTTTAAATCTATTCTCATAAAAAAGAAGCTTTGGTTCTTCGTATTATATTGGTAAGCACTGACGAGTATATCTTAACTTCTTTTGTAACTAGGCCAATTCTATGTTTTTTCATGAGGGTTTCAGGGGGTGGAGAGGACAGCCTAGGGATGGTGAAGGGGTCCAGGGGGTGGAGAGGGATGGTGAGGGGTTCCAGGGGGTGGAGAGGGATGGTGAGGGGTTCCTGGGGGTGGAGAGGGATGGTGAGGGGTTCCTGGGGGTGGAGAGGGATGGTGAGGGGTTCCAGGGGGTGGAGAGGGATAGTGAGGGGCTCCAGGGGGTGGAAAAGGATGGTGAGGGGGTCGAGGGGGGTGGAGAGGACAGCCTAGGGATAGTGAGGGGCTCCAGGGGGTGGAGAAGGATGGTGAGGGGGCCCAGGGGGTGGAGAGGGCAGCCTAGGGATAGTGAGGGGGTCCAGGGGGTGGAGAAGGATGGTGAGGGGGCCCAGGGGGTGGAGAGGGCAGCCTAGGGATAGTGAGGGGGTCCAGGGGGTGGAGAGGGATGGTGAGGGGCTGCAGGGAGTGAAGAGGGATGGTGAGGGGGTGGAGAGGGAAGTGAGGGGGCTGCAGGGGGTGGAGAGGGAAGTGAAGGGGCTGCAGGGGGTGGAGAGGGAAGTGAGGGGGCTGCAGGGGGTGGTGAGGGGGGCTGCAGGGGGTGTACAGGGATGGTGAGGGGGGCTGCAGGGGGTGGAGGGCCGGCCAGGGGAGGCAGGGGAGCAGCAGCAGCCTAGCCGCCGCCGCCGCCAGTGTTGACAAGACAAGAGCAGCATCATCATGGTGGTGTCTGACGCTGGCAACTGGTGCCTCATCGAGAGTGACCCCGGGGTCTTCACCGACCTCATACACAAGTTTGGTGAGGCGTGAGGGGCCAGGGGTGACCTGTGAGGTGGTGAGGGCTGCCTGAGAGGGGTGAGAGGAGGCCACTCACACACCCTCACTACCACTCGGGCATGGCGGCTCTCACTCACTCACTGGGGGTTATAATCTGTAATAAATATATATATTTCATACTGTGTTTGTAGGATATTGATGTGTATTGGGGTCTCTCGTGTCTTGAAGGTCAATAATGATGAATGTATAAGCGTTTTGGAGGCGTCATGGTCTCTACACGAGATGAAACACAAGACAGATGTAAACTGTGTAGAGTCTGTGCTTCAAGTTTACCTTTGGTCTACCCTAAGGTAAACTGAGAGATTTTCACTAGCTCAGTGGAAGCATAATTACCTGTAGAGTTGTGGAGCTCTTAAGTGAGTGTTTTGGGATGAGTCACAGACTGTATAGTTCAAGTATGTTTATTGAGTTAGTTTAGTTCATTTATTATGCACCCCATACCCATCTTGTGGGCGGTAGTGGAAAGGGTTACAGAGGCACATAATGGGCTCAGGGACTGAACCCCACAATTCATTTAGCTAAGCAAGTTACAATCATGATGAGCTAGTTACAAAATTCAGTATAAGTCGTCACATCAACAATGGGTTCGAGACCGACCACAAGTACAGTTTCTAAATTAAGCAACTGACATATGTGGAGAGCTAGTGTCACAATTGATATGTTTGTCCTGCACACCGCCCCAGTTATTTATTGAGAAAAAAAAAATACATCTCAAAGGGATAGAGTACTGTAGCTTAGGTTATTTCAACCCCCCATTCTGCGTAGTACATACTCATCGGTCTCGTACAAAATTAAAATGGCAGGTGAATTAACATGTAGGTCGCAGGAATAGGTTAATTCACTATTGATATTAGCACGGAATGTTTACCTATCTTCTTGAGGTTATCTTGAGATGATTTCAGGGCTTAGCGTCCCCGCGGCCCGGTCCTCGACCAGGCCTACTTTTTATTACACCCCCCCCCAGGAAATAGCCCGTAGCAGCTGTCTAACTCGCAGGTACCTAGTTACTGCTAGGTGAACAGGGAGGCATCAGGGTGAAAGAAACTCCCCATTTGTTTCCGCCTCCACCGGGAATTGAACCCAGAACCTCAGGACTACGAATCTGAAGTGCTGTCCACTCAGCTGTCAGGCCCCTAATCACCTAAATTATGGAGTTATGTATACTGTATATTATATACAGCCAGTCTGTACACTATATATTTTTGGTTTCATTCTCGACTCACATTCAGGGTCCCACATTCGATTCCTGGGCAGGCTGAAGTGATTGGACACATTTCACTAGCTCAGAGAATGAAAGAGCACAAGAGACTTATTTTCCGTGGACGTTCTCTTTTGTTAGTTTTTCTTCTTTTAATATTAAGTGTTTAACCCCCCCCCCCCCTTTCAAACCTTCGTTAAATTAGTTTTCTAGTTATTTTATGTTTTTGCCCGAAATTCTTTGCATAATAATGGCTTCGTAGATTGTGTAACTCCTTTTCCTACCATTTGTACATTTGTACATTACTTCTATGTTCTATGTACACACATTCTTTTGAATAAACATTGGCATTGTTACTGTCATTTCCTTTTGCCTAATGCAGCTGTTCACCCAGCAGTAAATAGATATAGGGGTTAGACAGCTTTTCTGGTGTTGCATTGGGGGGAGGGCCAGTAGTTCGACATTGGGGAGGGGGGGGGACCTTGATACAGGCCAAAAGTATGTACTGCATATACACTGGCTTTCTGTCCCAGACAAAATGAATTATTATCATTAATGAAACAAAATTTGTACTGCTTGGTCTGTTCCAGGATGTTGGTGTGTATTAATATATCATTGTGCCCAATTGGCTTTTATATCCAGCATGGACAAATATGACAATTTGTATAGAAGACAGCTCGCAAATGTACTTTATTTTTTATATACATAACTATAATTTTACCTAACCTAGCATAACCTAATCCAGTCTAACCTATCTATATATAGTTGTAACAGAAAATGAGCAACAGTATGTGGGAAATGCCTGAGTACAACTTAACCATACATCATAGGTTACGTATAGATTCATAATTCAGGTAATTCTTAAATTGCTTCTAAGAAATTACTGCACTTTCAATAATAATAATAATAATTTATTTAGACAAAAGTACATACTGTACGTACATGGGATACAGGAACAGTGGAGGATTCCTAGGTAAGACAAGTATAATGCCTATAGCCACTAATATGCAGAGCATTTCAGGCATAATGTGGAAAACAAAAGTAATGTGCAATTTCATGTTTTCAGTGTCAAGTACGAATGTAGATGCCTTATACAGTATTGACAGTCTATGTACAGTGAGCCATGTGCTATCTGAACTCTTTGGGACTGAGACTGAACGGATAACATGTTGTGTTCGGATAAGTGGTCAGTCATCCTGAAATGCTGGATGAAAAAGGGGTCTGGAGCTCCTCCTTCCGCTATCTTGGGGAGGGGGAAGCTGTGCAGGCATCGGCACGGTGACGGGTGTGACATCATGCTAGTCTGCTCGTTTCAGTTGGGGAATTCCGTTCCACAGTTCGGTTTTCATTAGCAATTTTTTAACCAGATAGGGTTTGTTTTGGGGTGCCTACCTTTCTGGGTGCCTGACCCGGTCGATGGCAGACATAGAATACTTTCAACCACATAGGGGTTTCTATAGGCCATTCATCAGCCTGGATAGCTTCGGGGAACCTACGGGTCTCGCCCAGAAAATGGTGTTTCATTACATTCAACGCTGATTTATTTGTTTTCATTACATGCAATGCTGAGCCATCCTGGTCTTTGGACTGGGTGCTCTCCTTTTTTCTTCTCAGTTTGTGTTGGCCCCTTCAGTCCAAGACTGTTTCCAGAAAGCTTTGTTCTTGTTGGCTTTGGCTTCTGGGTGTCGGGTCAGAGAGTTTTACTCGCTCCTCTGATGCAGAGGCTTTTACTCTTTTGGGTTGGGTGGATGTTTTGTTTGGTTGCAGTCATCTCCTTTTCTGGCGAAGAACGAGATGGAGGGCTTCCAGAGGGTCCCATGGGTCATGGATACTTGGTTGGTCATGCCGGGGGTCCATCATGTTTTGTGTCCGGTTGCGGCTTTACACCGCTACCTGCGCGCCTCGGCTTCTGTGTCCAGGGATGCTCTTTGGGTTGACCCTTTTTCTCTTGTCCCCTGTTCCAGGGCTCGGGTCTCTCAAGTCATCCGCAGGGTTATCAGGTGTTGCCAGCATGCAATCTACCCTCACACCCATGATGTTCGTAAGTTTGCAGCTTTGGCTGCTGTGTTTGGCAATACATATGTCTTGGGTAGACATTCAGGCATGGGGGTTTTGGAGATTGAACAGGGTCCTAGCTGTCCGATATCTTGTTAATGTGTTGGACCCTCAGCGGTCTTGTGTCGCCTTGGGTCGGTGGTTGCAGCCAGTTATCTCGTCTTCGTTCAGAGTGGTGTAGTGCAGCTTATTCCTGGGTAAGTCCCTATTTTCCTGCTCTTTGGGTAGTTAGCTCCAGGGAGCTAAATACCTGATTAATGATTCTAACACAAATCTTCTCAATATTTCTTATGTTTTCGTCACTGTCGAGGAAAGTTGAAAAATTAAATCTCCAAAATTCATTTTCTACCCAGAAAATGGCATTTCATTACATTCAATGCTGGTTTTTTGTGTCGTCACCCCTTGTTTTGCTGCTAGCACTCCTTTTCCAGTGTGCTGGGAGTTGGCTGTGCATTTTTTCCTTGGCCTGTTTCCCATTCTCGGGTGCATGGTGTCTTCAGGTTTTACAGGTTATGCCTGCTACGCCTCTTCTTCTAGCTGTTTTGTTAGACTTGGGTGTAGTTGTGATGATACCCCCCCTCAATATAGTAGGAAATGAATGGCAACTTGGGTCAAATCACTCCAAGACTAAGTAGCCCTGCAAAATAACAATGGTATTTTATCTGAGTGTTCATAATTGGTAATCATGCTGGGAATCTATTTACAATAGTTTCATTTAATTATCTTTGCAGGAATAGTTATTAATATTATTATTATTGTATTATATTATTGAGTGCTACTACAGTAATTTACAATGTCGTGTTTACAAAGCCTGAGATTACGAGAAGCTTGTCGTTTTAATAAATTCTAACATATAAACAAAAAATATTTTATATCAGTATGGAAGTGTTGGAATATTAGTATTGAATAATAAATCATTGTTTTGAATAATAAATCATTGTTAGTATGGTATTAGTCAAAATTTTGGTATTAGGACACCTCTAGTTTTAAAAATGCTTTGTGAAGATGCCTCTGTAATGCCAGGTTTTATTCTTAGCAAAAATCAATAAAACTGAGAAATATCATTAGACAAAAGGCTTTATGATCAAATATATTTTCAGGGGTTAAAGGTGTTCAAGTGGAAGAAATCTGGAGCTTAGATGATGATTCCTTCATAAATCTTAAGTAAGTGTTGTAATTTCATACTAGTACAGTGGCACCTCGATTAACGAGCGGCTCTATCTACGAGCATTTTGAGTAACGAGCGAGCCACTCGCAGAACATTTGTCTCTACTAACGAGCGTTTCCGCTGGTTCTCGGACACCTTTTACGACAGTTTTGTTGTTGTTTCGCAAGACGAGTTTTCCACGTGACGAGCTTGGTGCCGGAACGGATTAAACTCGTTAATCGAGGCGCCACTGTATATAGTTTTATTAATTTTGTTTTATATATCTTATTGTATTAATTTGACCTGCCCGAAACGCTGCGCGTACTAGTGGCTTTACAAGATTGTAAATACTATGCTATGTATTCTCACAAACCCAATGTACCTTCTTGTATATAAATAAATAAATAAATAAATAAGTATAGAACATACAGTAGGTTGGGGTTGGCCTAAGTAGATCTTGCTGATAAATTGCATACATGTTCAATTCTAGTTTCACAGTCCAAAAGCAGTTCTCATTACTAGATATCCACAGAAAGTATACCTTATATAATAGTTTAAGAAAACAAAATTGTGGTGTCCTTGGGATACCTAGAGAATGCCTTTATGTATCAGCATGACATTTTTAAGACATATATGTTGGAGCAAGGGCAAATTTTGTTATTGACCCTCGTAAACTCCTGGTGGCAGAATTTATGCCTGTTTTAAATTAACCCTTAAGCTGCTACAGCCTTAAAAGTTGTCAACACCGCTGTGCGCAAGAAATAAAAAATATAAAAAAACATTTTTCGTCTTATAAAAGTGTTCATTTGTGTTCCCTGACCACGGGAAAAACAAAAATTGGAAGTTTTGCATTATGTGCAATTATGTGTCTGATTTTCAGTTTTATCAAGAACATCTAAGGATATTTGGAGTTTATTTGATAAATGTATATCGTGGAACCATAGGCTGCTGTGCTAATTTTCATCATTATAATCTACTCACTTCCACATGTGGACTGTGCAAGATATCGACTGGCGAGAGATAGAGGATGAATGGATGATGATATAGGCAATGATGGCTGGAAATGGCAGTAAGAGCACATTTACTTAGTAAAGTGGTAAAGTCAATTCCCCTGGCAAAGTTGTGGTGAACAATTCCCTCCCTTGACAATAAATGCAGTCTTCCCTGAGTTAAGCAAGGCGGTAGTGATATCCCTTCCCAATAGTTATTGTAACATTATTCAGATATCACTAGATTCTTGGCACACTTGAATGTGTCTGTTTCTAAGTTTACAATGCAGCTTCAACTCCAAATTATGTCCAATCGGCATTCTGGAATGGTTGTTGATTTAGTGAGTAATGCTAATTGAGTTAACTTGATGTGTTGGTAGTATTAGTGCAGTAATTTCATCGGATGGCTGGCAGACGAATTCGTGCACATGTGTAGAGTAGAGCTCTCCACAACTTAGAGCTGAAGGTTGTGGGTGCCTCACACACAAACAGACCTCCATCCTCAACAAGATATAGGCCTCTGAGGAGTCGTGAAGTTCGTAGAAATGCGACACAAGGGGAATGGAAGCTACAGTGCCATATCATAATACACACCACTCTTGTAAACACAGGCACTGGATACAGAGACACTCTACTCTCCCTCTCCCCTACACAACTCGTAAGAGAATTACATTTAAACTTCACTTCTCACTGACATTAAAATTCAAATACAAAATTTAAGTGATTAAAAATGGCAGCTATTACACTAGGTGGGTAGTTTAGAAAATGGTTTACAATGCCATTGTTGCAGGTAAATTTAATTATAAAACTTTGTTCCTCAGGCCTGTGCATGGTCTCATTTTCTTGTTCAAATGGCAGCAAGAGGAACAGCCGTCTGGTACAGTGGTGCAGGATAATCGGCTGGATAAGATATTCTTCGCAAAACAGGTAACAGCATAGCACTTGAGTTGAACGATATGTGGATGTAAAAATTTTGTTTAGTAATAACCACCTCTGATAAAATAATAGAATTTTTAGTGCTTATTTTTTTTTAGGAGCAAATAACTTTTACTTTTATTTTTAGGAGCAAATAACTCCTTCACTCAAGGGTCTGAAATTCTTATGAGATATCAGCCATTTATTAATGAGCAGTGAAAAGTTTCCTTGAGCTTAAGTACCTGTGATATGTAACTTATAGAAGGAACGTGGGAGTAATATCAGAAAAAAGGAGTAGAGTGCAATGGATACCATGAATAGGAAGAAAACAAGAGGGAGCAGAGTGATGCATGTAGTGTTACAAAATGATTTATTGTTTCCAGTTATAATGTATGAGAATAGGCCGGCGAACTATTGTTAGAACAGTAGTGCTGGACAATGTGAGGAGCATGTCTGCTGTTATGAGAATAGAATTAAGGACTTTGGCTTTAATGTATTAAATAGAGAATAAGGAGTTAGTATGTAATGGTATGAGTGCTGCAAGGGGTATGGTCATGTGAGGTGATCTGGTAGTAAGTGGTGACAAAAATTAAACTCTTGAATTTAAAAAAAAAGGAAGTAGGGGAGGGATCATAACTAGATATGTATGACAGTTTGACAAATAGTTTTTTTTTCATACTGTATTTTGTGGATATTTTCCCAGGTATGTGTGGTGTTATTATTTTCCTGTGATGTTGCCACAGTATGGAAGGTAGTTTGATGGTTCTTGAATATGGTTACCTGTCTTTTATTATAAAAATATTCTATCATTTCCCAGTATGAGAAACTTCACTCTAAAGTAATAATCACAACATGTCTGCTTTGATGCTGTGGCATGGTACTTCATTGTTGTATGACAAAACATGTACTTGAGTACTGTGATATATTACTTCAGGGTGCTAGCTTTGGCTCTAAGGTGTCCTGCCCTGGCCTATCTAGACAACTGGCTCGTGTAACAATTACCAACCTGGCAATCTTGAACAGCCAGAGACAGTTGTTAATAGCCAAGAAGTTAGGCTTTGAGTTTATATAAAAAACGTTATTCTTTGTAGAACCATTCAGCTAGTTCTTGTCCTACTCCTTACTTCCCATTCTCTCCTGCATGCAGCTTTTCTATTTTTGATCATGAAGAATGTAACAAAATGTGATGGTGGGCTTGCAGGTTTGACCAGCCTGAAAAGTGAACAGTAATGAAGTCTCGTTGGCAGTCTCTTGTGACACCAAATGAAGATTTGGTAAAAGTTTGTGTTTATAATTATTATTATTATTTAGGATAAAAACCCACACTTGTGTATATGTGAAATTTATGTAAGGAATTTACTCCGTCTTTCGCACTCTCCTGTAATTGAAAACAATTTTATGTTTTGTATCCGCTACCTTACGGGTCAGTTTATTTAAAAGAGAAATTGGAATCCTGAGAAATAAATGGTTTTGAAATTGCCTTATCACCCTCTTTTAAGTAAACTGACCCGTAACGTAGCAGATACAAAACAAAATCGTTTTCAATTACCCTAATACAAATAGCAAAAGGATTAGTAAGAATAGAGTGGGAAAGGATAGTAATCCGGGAGGAAGTTTATATATGTTACCTTGTAGAGATTGTAGTGAAGTCTATGTGGGGAACCAAACAGCGGGTAAACTGGAGATCAGAATTGAAGAACATAAGAAAGAGTTTAGAATTATGGCTGGTAACAGTGTTGTAGCTAACCGTAGTTGGGAAAAAGATCACAATATTGATTATAAGAAATGTGACATAATCTATAAAAGTAGTAATATTAAAACTAGGAAGGTAGTGGAAGGGGTTCTAATAAATACTCTGAATACTGTACTTTTGTTGGTAACAAAAGCTTTACTCGAGAGGATAGCTTTACTAGGAAAATGATTGAGTGAATTCAAATGAAATCTCAATAAATGGATGAATGAAAGCAGTCCCATTAGCCACACTCTTTTGGGTATAGAAAAGGTTACAATGGCTATCATCCAGATGAAGACCTCGATTAATAACAACTCCACTTCCCAGAATAGCAAGATTACAGAAAAAGATACATGACTATATTTCCGTGGAAGGCATTACTGCAGGTACATCGCCAGTCGGGATTAGAGGTGACATGGTCAGGCGGTCAAGAAGGCTAAGAAGACTGGATCCAGGATAGCAGCCCCATTAGACGCAGAGATGTAAGTCTCGTCCTAATCACACACTCAGACCTTGATAAAGCACTCAGGCCGAGTGCAAAAGACTTAGTGGAAATTCCTTACATAAATTTCACATTCATACAAGTGTGGGATTTTATCTTATGTTATTATGTCTGTGAGAAAACATTACCATCACTAATTATTATTATTATTATTATTATGATATAGCTTTTACCCAGTGTCTTCTCAGAACTTTTTATGACTGCAGGGACCTTTGAAAAGATTATTATAGTGCTGGTGAATAAATGTTGGCTTGCTTGACTCTTCATGAATTCTGTCTATGATAACAGGTTCTTAACCTAGAGAATAACCAAGTTACTTTTTGTATTCATTTAAACCTTAATTTTTCAGATGATAAACAATGCTTGTGCCACCCAAGCAATCCTATCGATATTGCTTAACACAAAACACGTGGACCTACAGCTTGGATCTACTCTTTCTGAGTTTAAGGAGTTTACACAGACATTTGATGCTCACATGAAGGGGTTAGCACTCTCCAATTCAGATACCATTCGCAACGTCCACAACTCATTTGCCAGGTAACTTAGCATATTATTCTGATGAAATATGATTTTCTGGGGGGAGTCCCTTGTGACTCCCTGAAACTACTATCATTGATAGTGCCAAAGTTAGGGATATCCATATCAGCCTGGATATCTCCGGGACACCCAAAAAATGGTGTTTCATTACATTCAACGCTGGTTTTTTTTTTTTTTTTTTTTTGCTTCATTTTAACATTTTTGTTATATTTGTGATAAATTGTTTTACATAAACTTTTTTATTGTAATCTATTTATATTTAGAGGTCTTTTTGTGGGCAGCCCCGTCGGCTCCCTGAAGCTGTCAGGGAGCCTCTGGGGCTCACCCAGAAACTGCTGCTTTATTGTGATAAGGTTGTATAGTCCCATAGTCATCTATATCAGGAGTGTGGTGGTTCATGTTTAAGCTATATAGTGTAGTGTGAATGATGTAATTAATGGACGAGTGATGTTTTTATCCTAATTTATATAACCTTCTTTAATTATATTAGTCAATTTTTTCTCCTGGGCTGAAGCCTCTGCATTCCATGTAAGTGGGAAACCAGGGTAATGTTGATGACAGCACACCCTTAGACTGTTAAATATACCGAGGGCTAATGTTAAATGCACATGCATTTCTCCCACCCCCGTGTGGTTTCACCAAGTTTGTGTAAGATTTGTAAGAAATGTAAATTGTTCCAGATATGGAAGTATCTTGGGAAAGTTATGTTCAGACTTTTTGTAGTGCAGCTGTGAATTTCCAGAGTTGACATTAGTGTCTATAGAATTCAAGGCTTTATTTAAAATATACCTTACTGTACAATAATTGTAATATTGACATTAATATCATTTGTAATGAAAATAAGTTAAATTTTATTGCAGACGAGGAGACAATAAAGTGGCTGAAATATCTTTACCCAACCACACCCTAGAAAATGATGGGACGACGACGTTTCGGTCCATCCTGGACAATCCTCAAGTCGATTGGAATCGACTTGAGAATGGTCCAGGACGGACCGAAACGTCATCGTCCCTTCACTTTCTAGTGTGTGGTCTGGTCAACTTAAATTTTATTCACATTATTTGTTAATTAGAAGAAATAATATCTATTGTATTAGACAAATACGTTGTTAAAACTGAATCATCTTCCCACAGGCAGACTCTCTTCGAGTTTGACAAGCAACAACCTTCAGAAGATGACGATGTGTTCCACTTTGTGGGTTATATTCCCATCGAAGGCCGTCTGTATGAACTGGATGGCCTCAAGGATGGTCCAATAGATTTGGGACCCATATCTCCTGGTACAGATTGGCTCACAGTCGTACAGCCAGTTATTCAGCGAAGAATTCAAAAGTAGTGTATTTTTCCTTGTGTTACTTTTTTTTTTGGTTTACTTACAAAAAAGATGTATAAGTAAATGTTATTAATTCTTACATATTTTGGTTTAGTTTACATATTTACAGACAAAATAAGTTTATTCATATCAAAAGAAATATTTGTTGTAGCCAAGTGCAGTGTATGTATCTGGTAGTGAGAGACACTGATAAAGTGGCTAACGATACCTTTAATGCAATTTCCTTATTAAACTTTGCATGCTGAGGTCACTTTGTTACTGCATCTTGGGATGCAACAGGAGTTGTTGTAGGATTTGTAATCATAAAAATCCTACAACACAAGGAATTTTTAACATTTCACATGGATGAAATGGTGCTTGTAGGGGCTACTAGCAACAGCTAGCTCCGCTACTCGAGACCTAGATTGAAACATGTAAAGTAAAAAATCACTGGCTTTTCTCAATGTATATGAAAATAAATAACATTGTATCACCAAATCCTCTTTTTCTAATACTGCACAAGTCAGAGATGCCTGATACATATTGAATTTTAGAATTTATTGTCCAATATTAATTTCCAAATAACAATGCATGTAATATATTGGTCATTGGTGTAAGTTCATCTGAAGCAATTCATCTGAATGCCCAATGTAAAATACTAAACATCTCATGCTATTAGAAAGATTTCCTTAAAACATGTAACAAAGTAGCCCAGCCAAACCAGTACAGTAAGACACTTTGGTACTCACCTCTCATGTCATGCAGTACCCATGGACCCTGTTCTCGGGTCATTTGATACCCATGAACCCTATTCTCAGGTCATGCATTTTCCCATGAACCTTATTCTTGGGTTATTCAACCCTATCCTCAGGTTCATTTAATGCCTTTGAATCCTGTGTAGTCCATATGTGTGTGCTCTTTAACAAAAACTGAAATTCTTTTCTCATTGGTACCTCTTGGGTGCTTACAAGCTCTTCATAATACTGTACTCTTAATTTTTGTTAAATGTGTAATATTTTTACAGATACAGTGAAGGTGAAATTCACTTTAACCTTATGGCTCTTGTCAGCGATCGTAAAATGGTTATTGAGAGGAATATTACACAGTTGCAGAGAGAAATTGAGGTAAGTTTTTGTATTTGACATTGTTTTTGCATATACAGTATATTGTATAAAATTGTGATTGTAATATTTTTTTTCAAAACAAGTTTTAATATTTATGGGAAGTAATAATTGGAGATGTGATAATTTTTTTTTGTCAAATGGGGAAAAAATGAGTTGTATATGTTTATGATAATGGATAATATTTGTCTTCTTAGGAGAGTGAAATGGACACATCCATTCAAGAGGAGGAATTGGCACGTCTACGAGCAACATTGGAGTCTGAGGAAAACAAGCGAGCTCGTTGGCAAGTTGAGAATATTCGCCGTAAACACAATTACCTTCCACTCATTGTCAACATGATGAAGATTCTGGCAGAGGAAGGAAAGTTATTGCCAATCTATCAGAATGCTCGGGAAAAGGCACGAGCACGCCATGAGAAATCTAAAGAAAAGTCCAAAGAAAAGAGCAGTGCTTGACAGGGAACAACACAAACTATAAAAGTTACAAACTGGAAACAAACTTTGGTGCAGTTGGTAATTATCAAGAAGGAAGTATCGGTGTTGAGTACCAATCTATACAATCCGTCGAGTGTTGAGCGTTGGAAACTGGAATGGTCACGTTTGTGCTGAAAAAAAAACTTTTTTGCAAAGGTATCTTACTAAAATTTATATCAAATGCTTATAGATTTTAATCTTTAAGGATTGTTAGTTATTTGCATTAAAAAGCAGTGTTAGATGTTAAAATCTAAAAGATGTTTGGAGTTAATTGTATGTTTTTGACATCTGTAATTGGCAGCTTAAATTGTTATGGAATTTTGAGCAATTTAGGTGGGTTTTATTCGCTTCCTTTTTAAACATACGAATGTATGATATTTTACAAATATATTTTGATCTTGCTGCATACAATGTGTACCATTTCCTCAATAAAGTCTTATGATGTGGCAAGTGTACCAAATTTGTGTTATTTATTATTACATTTGTGCATAGCAATATTGTATTATTCTATCCAGAAAAATTGTCTGTGGTGTTTTTGCATTTAATGGCACATACGAGACTAATGAAAGAATCTCGACTGTTGTCTAGGTATACAGCACAGTATTTTAATGTTATTCAGCCCCAATTAAGTATTTCCCACGTTAATTTTTCTGTTTGTATCTGATTCCTTGTTTACTTCAGAACTTCTCTCCAAAGAAGAAGTCTTTAGATTTTGCTCATTTTACTTGATTTTTCATGAAATCACTGACCATCTGTTACCCTACCAGTTTGGGATCTTAAAAGTTAACATTGTGTGAACAGGGATTTTTAATAATTTCTGCAATCTTACCATACATTGTATCAAACCAAAATTCAGCATGTCTTTCAATTAATTTATAAGGAAATTACAAATAAAACAATAATATTGTCTGTAAAACCAAGTGATTATTTTGTAGAATCTATTTCAATGCCAAATCATCTGCTCCCGGAGTCATCATATCTTGAAGAAAATCCACAATACATTTATTAGGTCTTGCTTTAATTCATCATTATTGGCTTCACAAGAAACCTCTTAACAGTGTTCTTTTACATTTCCTGGTGTGGGATAATTGTAACTGCAGCATTGTATACATCAAAGAGATGTAGCCACATTCCTCTGTTTATTTGAATATGCATGAGATGCAATGCAGAACTTGTACTTTAGCTACATGGTCAGACTGACAACACCTCTTGCTCCAGGACACCAGCGGCTTGTGTCGAGGCCCAGTGCTGTGGTGCAGCTCCTTAATGTTATCCATATTGATATTTAATAAATAAACTGCAAAATTCTCCAGTGTGTGTCCTTTTACTACTCAATTATGCAGTGGTGACAAAAGTTCATGTGCTCAGAGTGTTTTGTGAGTCTTGTACCTTGCAGAGAATGCTTTTAATGATATTAGGTATGTAGTTCATTTGCACATATTTTCTTTTGTATTGGTGCCATATTAGCCACTTTCCAATAGTTTGGTGGTTCTCCCCCTTTTCCAGTGAGGAGTTAAATACTATAGAAAGTAGTCTGCACAATGCATAAACTGCCTCTTTGGTATCTGCAGTGAAATCTTGTCTGGTCAAATGGCTACAATAGATTCTTTTAGCTGCTTCCTTCTGGAGTCACTTATATTTCATTGTTCCTTTTACAAAGGCAGGATGTTTTCTTAGTACTCCTTGATCCAGGTAAAAATTTAGGTTTCTCCTTACAAAACGCTTTGAGACATTAATGGTTCACTTGCCATACGTGTGTGTGTGTGTGGTTCCCTAATGATGGTTATTCTAATAGCACCTACAGGAATTAGTGGGCCAGCCAGAGGCTTGAGACCTGCTCTGGAATATCCATGCAAAAAGAAACCTACAGGCAGGGAGGCATAGCTCTTGGGACCCACCTCTTAATAACTGAGCATCAGGTAATCTTTCCTCGTAACTTAGGATTTTTTATATCTGGAGGTTGTGAATTTTATTTACCTCCACCACCTTATCTAGTTCATTTTAAGTATTCACTACTCACAATGCATTTTTTCCTTGAATTCCTGTGGCTCATCTGAATATCTTATTTCTACCTTTGGCTTCATTTTCAACTTTTGTTTACTTGGTACACTATCTTTATCTAATTTATACATACACAGTACATACCTGTACTTATAAGCATTTTATACTTTTAAATCCTGTATTTGGTTCCACCAGACTATTATTTTCTATGTCTGCAACAGGACGTTTTTCAGGCTTATCGAAGTTCCCCTTGGCCAACTACTGACCTTCCTCAAGATGGAATGCACAACAGTTTCCTAATGCCTTGGTACCTGTTTTACTGCTTAGTGAACAGAGGCATCAGGTAAAAGAAACGTCTCTGACCGTTTCTGTCCTTCCCGAGGATTGAACCCAAGTTCAATCCTTCAATTTGACTAGGAATCAAATCTCCAGTTTTATGGAAAACAATGAACTTTACAACCCAGGTTAAGGTGGATTGAGAGTAGGATGATCTTGTCATTCACAGTTACTTGACCACTAATGACAAAATCACAGACGCATTAGAAGAAAAACTAAAAATGCAATTGATATACACACAAATTTGCAAAGGCATTCGTATGAGTGTGACCATGGAGTGATAGCCCATAAAATGAGATCAATAGGAATAACGGGTAAAGTGGGGCATTGGATTTTGAACTTTGTCAAACAGAATGCAGAGTAACAGTCAATCAAATATGATAAAAGTCCAAGTGCAGTGAAAAGCTCTGTACCTCAGGGCACAGTCCTTGCACCACTGCTCTCTCTTTCTTATCTCTGGTATAGACAAACATACTATGTTACAACTTCGTGTCATTATTTGCAGATGATCCAAAAATCAGCATGAAAATTTTCTCTGTAGAAGACACTGAAAAACTACTAGCTGATATTAATAGTTTTCGATTGGGCAAGGGGAAAAACATGATGTTTAACAGTGATAAATTCCAGGTACAGTACTTTGGTATGGTGGAAATGAGGAACTTATGAACGTTAGTAATCCAACCTGTCCTATTACAAAGAACGTCGCATTTCGCCCGTATGCGTTACACAGACCAAAAATTGTACTAGAAAATGGAAGCGGCTGGCGAAATTGATTGTTGCCGCCGAAGGCGGCTAGTTTATTGTGCACCCCATACTCATCCCGTGAGCGGTAGCGCAAAAGCATTCACAGGATGAGTATGGGCTGGCGGAAGTGACGTACTGTCCCGTTTTCTGTTTTGGGTCCTCTGGTTGGTTAGGAGAGGACACTTTAAATTGACCGTTTTTTTGACGTTGGGAAACCTTAGGAGGACGAGCTGAGTAATCAAACTAAAACATTGTTTTGACTGTAATTGTTAGTTGGTCACTATTACATTTGTGCAGTCTCTCTCTCCCCAGAACACTGAGACTTCAACGCAGCATAAGATACTTATCTCTGAAACCAGCATTGTACATTATCAATTTACCAACATTATACATTTTAGCCTCCACTTCTGCCATCTTGATCTCGTGACATTCTTCGTTTGCAACGTTATCTCTTCCCGGTTTGGTGCCTTCTATTGATAATTACTTACTTGCAACGTTATCTGCCAGTAAATGACTGCCTTAGCATCAATAACATGGTGAGGGCATTGGCAGTGGTAAAATTGACTCGTCGAGCTGCAGCAGACCCTTAGGAAGTGTAAAACACTATATTACAGACGACTTACAACTGATGACGTTAGAACATTTCTCGAACAGTGCTTCGCTGACGTCTTCTGTGCAAATCGCACCTTTGTAAACAGCCCACTGTAAATGCTTCACCCACATACTGCACATATAAATGATTCAGCTCGTTCTCATCAACAAAAGCCAAATGCTCGCTAATCCAGTCACCAACCCCCGTTTATAAGTGAAAAAACGGTTTACATACGACTCACAATTAATGATGTTCGAACAGTGCTTCGCTGACAACCTCTTTTCGAATCACATCTCTATATTTAAATGCTTCACACATGTACAGTACTGCAAATGCAAATACCCGCAAACAGAACCTAAACGCCTAACCTAATCTGCGCCTAACTAACTATAGAAACTTAATATCTAAGAATATTTATTTATATATGAGAACATGTTTGTTTTTAACGCACAACACATAAAAATGACGAATGCGTCTTGGGGGGCCATTGCTTTCTGGCCTGAGGAGAGATTTAAATAATTGCCAACGTACCTTAAACACCAAACCTAACTTGATTTAGGCCAGACCATACACCAAATTTTAACATGCAATAATGTTAATTTATATGAGAAAATGCAGATTCTGACGCACGTTCCGTTAAAATTGTTGAATGTGCCTTTGGGGGAGCGCAATGTGCATTTTCTTTGTATCAAAATACATAGAATGGGAAAGTTTGCTTCGTTTAACACACAATATATTTGAAATATATTCAACGTTTCACTATATTGTATACATACGGTTCGTCCAAGCTGTGAATTAAAAGATAATTAGGAAGGTCTTTTTATTAATGTTAGTCAACATAAAATGCTGCAGACAACTCACATAAATATATATATATATTGTGGGTTATAATGAAATATTTATACATTTCTCACAAAGACGTACATCTTCTATTTACAGACCTGTACAACCTCATATCCATCTAAATTACTACTAATTCAATGTCTAGTGTAAATAGTAGTATTGGCATCATATTTATCACCACATTCGTCATGTCTTCATGTTATGGTTGATCATTTTCAGAACTGAAAACTTAGACGATCATGACAAAGACACTCACCAGCTGTCCTGGGCGAAGCTTTTGAGTGCCTCTGGGTTGGGTGAGGCTTTTGAGTGCCTCTGGGTTGGGAGAGGCTTTTGAGTGCCTCTGGGTTGGGCGAGGCTTCTGATTGCCTCTGGGTTGGGCGAGGCTTCTCAGTGCCTCTTGGTTGGGTGAGGCTTTAGAGTGCCTCTAGGTTGGGCGAGGCTTCAGAGTGCCTCTGGGTTAAGGGAGGCTTCTGAGTGCCTTTGGGTCTCTCCACTAACATATTTGCCAATATCATCAATATCTTCTAGAGCGCTTCTGAAGTGATAACACTGCATCATTCACACTAGAAGTGTTCAGCAACCCGTCATCCAAAAAATGATAGTACTTAAAACAAATATTGATGGAACGTAAACAATTAACTGTTGCATCTCCAAAACTACACGTTTTGTATTCTTTGTAGAGGGGCACGAAAAACAAGGCAACAAACAAACCTAAACTTTTCTAGGCCCAGTATAGCACTTGTATTTATTGAAATAGACCTAAGATGGCGTATGTTTAGGCTTATTTAGGCCATGAGTAGATTAGATTGGCTAAATAGTTACTGTTCCAGTTTTGGTATGCCCATTGTGATATGGCAATAGTATCAAACGTATTATTGGTTTTAATACAACAGTATTTTTGTACGTTCCATCAATATTTACGAAATAAGTACTGTATTTTTTGAAGGATAAGTTGCAATGTGCACGTATCATCAGCAATATCTGTACTCTTGCAGAATGGCTTCCTATCACCGCTCTCCACACACAAACCTTCCACAGTTATACGCTCTTCAGTTTCACCGGAGAAGTTACATCTGCTTCATATATTTCAAATAATATCCACAGACATCTTGTACAAGTTATTAACTTCTCTTTCATAATATCGTAACACTTTTCTCGTAATATCACTTTCAGATGCACTCTCTGGCTAAACCAGAGAGGTTTATTTATTTATTTATTTATTTACTCTCTGGTTATCTGCGTATTTGTCAGTATGATTGACTTTGAAGCAATTCGAGAGAGAATTGTTAAAGTCTAATTTTATTAGTACGCGGCGGATGGCGCCCATAGGGGTGTCCTTCCACAGTATTCTCCAGTTTATGCATTTCTTGATACATTTATTGCAAATTTCTTGTTATATATTGCTATACACGATCGAGAGAGGGCACCTGGGTGTTCTGTCAGTAGTTGGAGGAGTAGGCTCTTGTCTTGTTGATGGAGGTGGAGGGATTGTTTGGGCGCCGCTGGTGCTGGTTCATCTCCTTGCTGCTGAGGAAGGCCACCTTGACCTCCCCTTTGCCGTGGGGCAGACTGATGGCGTTCTCGGGGAAACTCAAACGAACTTGAGCCTTCTTGAGGAAGTCCACGCCCAGCACCAGGTCGGCTGGCAGGTCACGCGCTGTGGGGGAGGGCAATACTTGCATTAGTAAGCTTTCACGTGTGGTGACTTGTATTAGTAAGCTTCTACGTTTTATTGTTTAAGATTCGCTACCTGGAACAAAAAGCTCCAAGTAGCACGGGCTATGGTGAGCCCGTAGTGGACTGGATTTTACGTGTGCTGACTTGTATTAGTAACTTTCACTTGTGCTAGCAAACTGGGATTATGCTATATATATATATTGGCGTTTTATAAAATTTTGAAGGAATTATATATATGTCAGGGGCTTGTGCTTGTGCAGTATTTAGTGGTAAAGTGATGGAATTGGATTTTGACTAGTTTAAAAATCGTATCCTATCCTGCTTGTCTGGGGTAGGGGTGGGGGGGTGCAGTGGGGGGTGAGAGACCATTGCGGATGCTTTCCAAAGAAATTACTTTAAACTCGGCATAAAACTCTTTTAAAGTTCACTTCTTATTTTAATACATGTATATTAATTATTTCGTTATTTTTTTTATATAAGTAGTTCAGTGAGATAGCATAAAATGAGGGAGAAATGTAAAATATCAACAAAAAATAAATTTGGAGAATTGGCATTTGGTGCTGCAAAGTCAGGCAGCCGCTTGACACCTTAATTCCTCCTCTCAACAAACTAAATCCCATTTATAATAACGATCATTAATAAGTATTTCACTATTGTTTCATTATCATTTTTGCTCAGATGGCTCATTTTGTATCATAGATTAATTGAAGAAATGTTTGAGCAGATACACTTTATGGTTTTAATGTAATTTGGAAACGAGAGTAGAACTGCACCAAAATTATCTTGCAAGGAAATTGGAACATCAGTTGACGACTGACTGTCACCGGAGGCAGACGTGCTGTGCCGGAGTTCTTCCTCCAATCTAACCTAACCACGTATGTTGCATTCTGTTTAGCGACAATTTTTAACAATTCCAATAATGTGTTCTTTGAGAGTATATATAAAAACTCTGTTTATGAGATTTAATGACTATAGAAACTATGCTAATTGCCCTTGTGTTATCACGGTAATTATTTCAAGTGCATTGCTAGTTATTTAGTTATATCCCTGTTCGTATCCTGCCCTCTTATAGCAGGACAGGATAGGAGATCCTGCTATCCTGTCCCCGTATAGGAGGAAAGGATAGATCCTGCCTCCGTATAGATCCTGCTATTCTGCCCCCGTATAGAAGGACAAGATAGGAAATCCTGCTATCCTGTCCCCGTATAGGAGATTCTGCTATCCTGTCCCGTACAGGAGATCTTGCTATCCTGTCTCCGTATAGGAGATCCTGCTATCATGCCTCCGTATAGGAGATCCTGCCCCTGTATAGGAGATCCTGCTATCCTGCCCCCGTATAGGAGATCCTGCCCCCGTACAGGACAGGATAGGAGATCCTACCCTCATATTTTCAAATTGGATTGAAACCCGGGACATATGAAGGCGACCAGAATCTATGTATGGAGAGACACTACAGCCTACTGAGGCCCCGGGCACCTCCCAGTAAGATACTGACCAACATGGAGCTGTGTGACATGCTTGGACCCTTTAATGGAGAGTTCCACGTATCTCAGTTTTCCTTCCACCAGCCACGGTGATGCTGTACCTGTAATTGTAGGACGTCTGTGCTAGTACAGGATGGAATACGGAAATACATGTATCTAGCTTCAGCTAGCTTTATGAAGCATCGGTAATTACATGTGTCTAGTTTCAGCTAGTTTTATGAAACATCTGTAGTTTCATGTATTTAGCTTCAGCTAGCTTTATGAAACATCAGTAATTATATGTATCTAGCTTCAGCTAGCTTTATGAAATATCAGTAATTACATGTATCTAGCTTCAGCTAGCTTTATGAAGCATCGGTAATTTCATGTATCTAGCTTCAGCTAGCTTTATGAAACATCAGTAATTACATGTGTCTAGCTTCAGTTAGCTTTATGAAACATCAGTAGTTTCATGTGTTTAGCTTTAGCTAGCTTTATGAAGCATCAGAAATTACATGTATCTATCTTCAGCTAGCTTTACGAAACATCAGTAATTACAGATATTACATTCAAAACTAATATTTGTGATTACATGATAACGTAAAATCTAGAAACATTTACTGATGTCTATGAAAATATATGGACACAAAGAGAGCTGATGAAATTAATATATAGCATTACGAAACACCTATGCTGATGTTGACCCTATATATGAACATCTGTGATACTTTAAACATATAGCATCAATTAACACTAGTTAGATATAGCACTGACTAGGAAATTGTTCCTAAATAAATATATACATGGATGTATGAAATTATAGCATGAGTCTCCCATGCCAATAGAAGTGGGATCGAAGGATTGTTTCAGGCGCAGGTTAGACATATATTAATGATTTTGGGTGGATATAAATAGCAGCTGCCTTTTATGATAATTAGACGGGGGAAGATAGTATCTATTCATCAATGACAAAAGACAGAGTTTTAGCCTGCAGAGTTTACAAGATGGATGTCTCTGACCTGTACCAAGGGGTGACGGAGGGACGGAGGTGTCGGGTAGGACGTCCTGCCTGACCCCCATGTCCTGCACGAGGGTGGAGGAGACGAGAGAGATGTGGCTGGCGGTGTGGATGAGAGCAGCCACCTCCGTACCATGCACCTGAAGGAACAGTAGATATATGGGTTAGCTCCACCGCCACCATACTAGAACCGAACCCACCTATCCCCCCCTATTCCCCACCCCACCATGTATCGAGTGAGCATTTGGGTGAGGCTACCTCCAAATATCTATCCTCCAACCTCGAACACACAGCCAAAAAAAAAAACCCATATACATTTGCTTTTATAGATGGTGATAAAAGCATTGAGAAATGTAGGCTTCTCTAGCTACAAAAGATCTGCGCTTCAGACAGTTCTGGTAATAGTGATTAGTTGTAGCTTTTTATGTATTTAGTATTACAAAAGTGAACTATTATTATTTTTTTCTTTTAAATTTGCAGATATTCATTAGATATCGCTCCCCGGTGGTCCAAGTGGTTGGGCACTGTCCCTTTCCCCGGTCCTCCTGTCCCAGCTCCTGTCCCAACCTGTCCTGTCCTCGTGTCCATCCCACGTGCAATATTGCCATCTTGGCTTAGTGCTTTCACTTCATAACTTCCTTTCCACTTCATTACATAATTTACTTATTTTTGACGTAAATGATGGTACAGGGTGAGTCAGTAGTACTGTCAGGTACAGGGTGAGTCAGCATGGTGAGTTATAGAGAGCAGTAACAGTAAGAGAGGTAACAGCCGAGGAAGAGGCAGTAACAACAGGCAGGAGCTATAACAAACTTAGAGGTAGTGAAATAATATTGAAAGCAGCACCATGGACCCCTAATACATGTCTGATGGCCAGGGATACCTCTGAAGCGCACGCACGCACGCACGCACGCACGCACGCACGCACGCACGCACGCACGCACGCACGCACGCACGCACGCACGCACACACACACACACACACACACACACACACACACACACACACACACACACAAGAAGGGCAAGAAGCTACGAGGAGAGGTTGGAAGCATTAAACATGCCAAAACTAGAAGACAGAAGAAAAAGAGGTGATATGATCACTACATACAAAATAGTAACAGGAATTGATAAAATCGACAGGGAAGATTTCCTGAGACCTGGCACTTCAAGAACAAGAGGTCATAGATTTAAACTAGCTAAACACAGATGCCGAAGAAATATAAGAAAATTCACCTTCGCAAATAGAGTGGTAGACGGTTGGAACAAGTTAAGTGAGAAGGTGGTGGAGGCCAAGACCGTCAGTAGTTTCAAAGCGTTATATGACAAAGAGTGCTGGGAAGACGGGACACCACGAGCGTAGCTATCATCCTGTAACTACACTTAGGTAATTACACACACACACACACACACACACACACACACACACACACACACACACACACACACACACACACACACACGCAGGGCCTCACGGCTTGAGTGGACAGCGCTCTGGGGTCGTAGTCCTAAGGGCCCGGGTTCGATCCCCGGCGGAGGCAGAAACAAACGGGTTGAATTTCTTTCACCAAGGTGCCCCTGTTCACCTAGCAGTAAATAGGTACCTGAGAGTTACACAGCAGCTACGGGATGCTTCCTGTGTGTGTGTGTGCGTGTTAAGAGAAATATATGTAGTAGACATAACAGAAGAAAAATAGATTGGTTAGAAAGGCGGGGTCCAAGAGCTAATTTCTCGATTCTGTAGGCACAGTAAAATATAAATAGTAAATACACGCACAAGACGCCTACTAACAGCAAAAGCGGTGGTGGGAGTCCTTACTTCTACAGGGACGAGCGGCGGTAGGTAGATACGATTGTAGGGTACCTCCTCCAGGAAGAGTGGCAAGGACACCTTCACTTCCCTCCGCCGGTCGTTCACCACCTCCGCCAGGAACCCCTTCGGCTCGTACTTCTGGTTTAAAAAGGAGAGAAAGAAGACTATAGGTCATGGAACGTGGCGGTTTGCGGTCAAAGAGTCTCTTGTGAGTGAGATTTTATATAAATAGGCTTGTGGATGTGTGTAATAATTTGTTTTGTTTGGGGAACGGAAGCCAGCTTATAAATACTTTAGCCTTGTATCCATTACAGTGTCAAAATATATAGCAAAGGGCACCACTGAATAACATTTTATAACATATTGCACAAACTATACTAAATACACTAGGCTTTCATGTCGAAATTTAAATATTTCATATCAGCCAATATTCCACTGGGAATATTACATGTTTCAACACTGTTATGGACTAAGCTAGCCATAACTGAGTTAATCTTTGTGTGCATACTAGTGTGTTAGTGATTAATGAAAGATGTTATTACGAAACGTTATGCGTGTCAGTGGCCTTGCCAGAATGTAAACATGAATATTACGTTCTCTCACAAACCCAATGTATCTTCTTGTTTATAAATAAATTAATAAATACATAAATTTTTGAGGTGGCATGCCTGAAGCACATTGAGTAATGTACACAAGCAGCTAGGATATCATGTCAGCAATGATAACAGGCTAGGCTTGTAGTTGAATTTAAATACAAAAAAATGTTTCTGTAATGTTAACAATTTAGAACTTCTTATAATAACTTGCATTGAAGAATTCAGTGAGTACTATGTAATATAATATCTAAATCAAAGTAGGCCTATATGCATGTATTTATAAGGAATTAGAAGTGTGTAAGAGGATGTACAGTAATCTTTAGCTAAGTTGTGCTAATCTGCATAAACGCTTTCAAGAAGTTGTGTATTAAGATATAATATCATCTAGATAATTTAACAGTTATATTAGTAAGTAATCAATTGCTGCCACAGCTTCAGTTGTTATTTTAAAGAAATGTAGTTTCAAGCCTAGTATATCTAGATAATTATCCAGTGTCATAAGAATGCTTATGCTTGGAGGTAATTGATCGTTACTAAGTCACTGGATAGGTAAAAGGTTTCGTTAAATCGTAAACTTGCTGGAAATCGCCGGTTATGTAAATTTTTTCAACAAGTGGAAGGGAGAGCGCTGTAAATATCATCTTTGGGTGAGTTTCGGTATGTTGGACTCAAGAGGCCGGACACAAGCGCCGTCCCACTCATAATTTATTTTTTGCGTGAAGATATTACCCTACGTTTAGTTAAGATGGTTGACGCTGAGTTAAAAGATGAGAAAAGGCCCTCTTTAATCATATAAAATCTGCATACTGCCCGAAACGCTTTGCTTAATAGTGGCTTTAGACATTGTATGTACTAGCTCTATCTATAAATCCATCAACTTTTGTATCTTACCATGTATGTATGTACCTTACCTGAATACAAAATTTATTTATTTATTTATTTATCATTTATGTACAGTGCTTCAAGCGTAGTTAGTCATTTTCACAGTGAGTTTTGTGTTTAGGTGTTGCCACCAGTTAATCATTTGTTAATTTAGACAGTATTGATGATTAGTTATCAAGTTAATAAGTTTCAGGTGCAGTTCAACCCATCCGTTCCTATATGCTGGAACTGAGAATTTGCTGGCATCTTTGTAGAAAACCTGTGCTGAAAAATTATTGTGGTATTAGGTTTGGTTTTTCTGTAATTTAGTAGATTGTTATCTTGTTAAAAGTATTCTTAATTCTCCTTATTTCTGTCAACATATATCTAGATAACAGGTAGCACATATTGAGCCGTAGGCTGGAGTGTGGGGTGGCCTCAAGGAGATAACTAGGACTGCTGATGTTAACAGTTATAACAAACATAATATAAACATATGCTAATCAACGTAAAAAAACCGTAGCTAAATTATTAACTAAGGCATTCATGTTTTTCATATTCACAAACCGATATGGAATAAAATCCTATACAAACATCACTCACTAGATATGAATGAAATAATTCTAACTATTAAATACCTTACACTTTTACTAGTTTTCATATTTGATGAATTAGAGTGTGAGTTGCACCATTAACGCCCATTGGTTGTGCTGAGTACTAACATAGCGTTGAGATTTGAGTATTGAAATTCGAAGTTAGGCTCCTGGGGAGACGATCATATGGGGTCCATCTTACTCACTCAAACGTTCGCTAGTAAGCGTTTGTTTCCTCAGTCTACACGGACCTGCACTAAGAGGTCAGAGGCCAGATTCACGAAAGCACTTACGCAAACACTTACGAACCTGTACATCTTTTCTCAATCTTTGGCGGCTTTGTTTCCAATTATTAAACAGTTAATGAGCTCCGAAGCACCAGGAGGCTGTTTATAACTATAACAACAGTTGAATGGGACGTTTTCATGCTTGTAAACTGTTTAATAAATGTAACTAAAGCCGTCAAAGATTGAGGAAAGATGTACACTTTCGTAAGTACTTTCGTGAATCTGGCCCCAGATCCCAGTCTCTGCTCTCTTTCCGTAGTAAGGCAGCCCGTCTTCCTAAATACACACTACGGGCTCACCATAGCCCGTGCTGCTTTGAATTTTTTGTTCCAAGCAGCGAATTTTAAACAACAACAACAACGTCCTCCTAAGATTTTCCAACGTCAAGAAACTGTCGTCTTAAAGTGCCTTTATTTTAACCTACCAGAGAACCCAAAACAGAAAACGGGATTGTATGAGTTTCGCGAGCCGCTTTCATTTTCAAGAACAATTTTTTGGCCTTAGGCAGAGTATACGTCAAAATGCGACGTTTTATTACGACAGTTTGCTTAAAGAGGCTCCTCAGATGATGCATAGAAAACGTCAAGAGGACCCTGCCATAAATTTGTATTAAAACGTTGTATTTGTTACGAATTGGTCATTTAACATTGCATATGCCGCTGATTATAGCTTCAAGGATAGGTAAACAGAATAGGTCCAAGGACAACCCTGTGTGTGTGTGTGTATTTGTGTTGATATAGGGAAGGGAAAGAGGATAGAAAGCGAGGTGTAGGAAGGTGGGAGAGGAAGAAGGAGGATAGTTGTAGAGACGGAAGGATAGAGAGAGGGGGGGGGGGGGGATAGTGTGGCGCCGACGGTTAGACTAGACTCCCAGAGACTCTTGTTTACGCTGGCCAGAGTCTGCTTACTACGTCCCTGTCTTGTTTATCCTGCATCCCTCCCTCCATTCCTATCCCCCCCTCCCTCCCTCCATTCCTCCCTATCCCTCCATCCCTCCCTATCCCTTCATCCCTCCCTATCCCCTCTCCTTCCTTCCTTCCCTCCCTCCCTACATATCTCTTCCTTCCGTCCGTCCCTCCGGTCCATCCACTCCTCCAGTCTGTTCGTTCCTCCATCTCTTCCGTTCTCCTTTTCTTCCATCCCTCCGTCCCTCCCAGAACCATCTCAACCCATCTATCTCACCCTCAACTCCTTCCATTTTGCCCTATCCCCTCCCCTTCCCCTGCGCTCTCCTACCTTGCACTCTCCCAACGTGTTCTCCCCCTCCCCCAACTCTCCCTATTACACCCTAATCCTCCCCCCCTGCCCAATCCCCCCCCCCCACCTACCAAGCCCAGGACCTTGTTGCTCCTACAGAAGCCTAAGCCCAGAAGGCTTCACCCCAAAGCCTTTGTCCTAATTCCTCCTCCGAGAAGTCTGATATGTGTGTCTATCCTGTCTTGCCTGTCTTTCCTACGCAGGCATCATATGTCTATCCCGTTACACATATTACCCCTAGCCTGATGTTGCGTCCATTTTGGGGGTGGGGTTCTCTCATGTATGGAGAGAGCATCTTCTTGAGGTTATCTTGAGATGGTTTCGAGGCTTAGCGTCCCCGCGGCCCAGTCCTCGGCCAGGCCTCCTTTTTGTTACACTCACCCAGGAAGCAGCCTGTAGCAGCTGTCTAACTCCCAGGTACCTATTTACTGTTAGGTGAAGAGGGTCATTAGGGTGAAAGAAACTACCCATTTGTTTCCGCCTCCAACGGGGATCGAACCCGGAACCTTAGAACTACGAATCCGAAGCGCTGTCCACTCAGTTTGAGCATACATAAATACACGTTTCCATACTCAGGCCATTCATACACACACCCATAAACGCTTCTCCCGGCATCGTACATCATCAATAATTTATTCACATCTCTTTGGGTCACAACAAAGGGAGAGTAGACATGATGGAGAAGTACAGGTGAAGAAAATGTTGACATGTGGAGTATAATGAGAGTTATGATAGCAGGCGGGCTGCCCGCCTTGGTGACTCCATGTTATGATAGCAGGCGGGCTGCCCGCCTTGGTGACACCATGTTATGATAGCAGGCGGGCTGCCCGTCTGGCTGACTCCATGTTTTGATAGCAGGCGGGCTGCCCGCCTTCCTGACACCATGTTATGATAGCAGGCGGGCTGCCCGTCTGGCTGACTCCATGTTATGATAGCAGGTGGGCTGCCGGCCTTGTTGACATGATGTTATGATAGCAGGCGGGCTGCCCGCCTTGCTGACACGAATTGTGTGATTTTGGTAGCTCCACCATTCCAATCCATCCTTCACCCCCTTCTGTCCACCCCACCCATCACCCCTCCTCCCCAACCCACCTTTTCAACTCCCCCTTCCACCCCTGCCCCCCCCTCCCCACCCTGGCCGCAGCTTGTGGTGAATCAAGAACACAGTGTTAAACATCCACACACTACCGCAGCATAAATAAACACCCGGGAGTAAGTGAAATGGTACGCGTGACCACCCTAGACTTGAAACTGCCTGCCATGTAGTGATCTAGGTATCCCCATCTCTGCTGTCAAAACTGTATTGGTCCAAACATTCAGATCTGATAGGAAAGAACTTACTGACTCCCAACGACCTGAAAGTACTAGTATAAAAAGCTATGATTTGTTCAGATCTGAAACCTACATCTATGGACAGCACAAAACGTCCACTAGACTGTGCGACACAGTGGTTGCAAGGATCAGGTTGGGTTACCGTTACCTGTGGCAGGTGGCTGCAGGGGACGGGTCTCCCAATCCTGAGCACTCCAGTTGCAAACTCTGTGAGCAGGAACTGCGGCATGATCTCCCGCACTACATCACTGAATGCCCAGTTATTAGACCTTTCAGACCAGTTGGCATGAGGTACCTGGAGCTTTGCAATTACTTTATTCACTCTCGTATTCTTGAAGATATCCTCACAGTATACCCAAAATTTGCCAGTGCAGGCTATTAAACACATGACTCTGTATGACTAACCATCCTGCGAGATGGGGACTTGTATTACCACTGCTACCTTATTCAATCTTGTGTTGTTGATATCCTCAAAATGCATCCGGAGTCTGCCAGTGCAGACCGCTTATCACATGCCTCTGTATGACTAACCATCCTGTGTGATGGGGATTTTTTAGCATCACCTAGTTAGCTTTTTTGACACACTGTACTCCACTTCATATAGTCTAGGGTAGCTGCACTAATGCAGATGTACCTCATATCTTAATAAAAAAAAATGTAGTGCTAGGGGCTTGCTCCATCTTTGTCGCGGATCGGCCCGCGACAGAGATGGATCGTCCCTTCATATAGTCTAAGGTGACTGCATAAATGTCCATGTACCCGAGTATATTTATAAAATATATTATTATTATTATTATTATCGTTTATTATTGCTGTTATTATCGTTCGTATTGCTATTATTAGTGTTGCTGTTTTCATAATTTATATGTTCCATTATCGACACTGACAATTTTATGATCTTCATCAGAAGACATAAAGATGAGAATCTTAATTTACAAAGAGTGATAATATTACACGAATTACCAGTCACAGCTGCTGATTATGACCATGCAACTGCCTTGTTAACAAGTCCCTTTGGTGTGAAGACAACTCAAGGCAAGACTGTGTGTGTGTAAATGTGAAGATGTTAGAGCACATGATCACTACGTTAAAGATATCTAACAGTATAGAGGTTAGTTGATGTGTGGCGGGTGTGGACTTTACGATTATAGACATTCCCCCAACTCACACAAACGAAAAGTGACGTTGTCTCAGCGTAATGAGCCATTAACACGTTCAATAGGGTGGTTGAGGGCGTCAGATATGAGGTAAAAATCGATGGATGGTTTTCTATCACGAACCTGTATGTACAATCCAGTTGATTGATTGATTGATGCAGATTAAGCCACCCAAGAGGTGGCACGGGCATGAATAGCCCGTAATGGTACGGCTGTTAAGAGCTTGAGTCAATTAAAGCTTCTACCCAGATGAGGGTAGTTAGGTGAGGTAATCACCAGGTGAAAGTTCTAAGCCAATTTGACTACATAGCATTTGAAACGATATGAGGACACGGAGAATATGAGGACACGGAGAATATGGGTCATGAGGACGGGGGTGAAGGAACGGTGCCCAAGGACTTAGATAATCGGTAATCGAGCGACGACTCTGGAAGAAGCGAGACAGACACCCTACCGACCACTTCAAGTGGTTGGTTAAGGAAGGAGATTTTAACATTCTTGAGGTAATAAGAGTCAAGAGTATTGTAAGCCTGATTGGTAAACCACTCAGGACACATATCCAAGGGTAACTCCGGACACATATCCAAGGGTAACTCCGGACACATATCCAAGGGTAACTCCGGACACATATCCAGGGATAACTACGGACACATATCCAGGGATAACTACGGACACATATCCAAGGATAACTACGGACACATATCCAAGGGTAACTACGTACACATATCCAAGGGTAACTCGGGACACATATCAAAGGGTAACTCCGGACACATATCCAAGGGTAACTACGTACACATATCCAAGGGTAACTCCGGACACATATCCAAGGGTAACTCCGGACACATATCCAAGGGTAACTACGGACACATATCCAAGGGTAACTCCGGACACATATCCAGGGATAACTACGGACACATATCCTAGGGTAACTATGGACACATATCCAGGGATAACTACGGACACATATCCAAGGGTAACTCAGGACACATATCCAAGGATAACTACGGACACATATCCTAGGGTAACTACGGACACATATCCAAGGGTAACTCCGGACACATATCCAAGGATAACTACGGACACATATCCTAGGGTAACTACGGACACATATCCAAGGGTAACTCAGGACACATATCCAAGGATAACTACGGACACATATCCTAGGGTAACTACGGACACATATCCAAGGGTAACTCAGGACACATATCCAAGGATAACTACGGACACATATCCTAGGGTAACTACGGACACATATCCAAGGGTAACTCCGGACACATATCCAAGGGTAACTCCGGACACATATCCAAGGGTAACTCCGGACACATATCCAAGGGTAACTCCGGACACATATCCAAGGGTAACTACGGACACATATCCTAGGGTAACTACGGACACATATCCAGGGATAACTCCGGACACATATCCAAGGGTAACTACGGACACATATCCTAGGGTAACTACGGACACATATCCAGGGATAAGTACGGACACATATCCAAGGGTAACTCCGGACACATATCCAAGGGTAACTACGGACACATATCCAAGGGTAACTACGGACACATATCCAAGGATAACTACGGACACATATCCATGGGTAACTACGGCACATATCCAAGGGTAACTCCGGACACATATCCAAGGGTAACACCGGACACATATCCAAGGGTAACTCCGGACACATATCCAAGGGTAACACCGGACACATATCCAAGGGTAACTCCGGACACATATCCAAGGGTAACTGAAAACAAACCATGCCTGGGTGCCCCGTGCACGAGTAGCCTTCGTGACGCACACACACCCCCGGCGGTAAAATCACCACATTAGCGTCTCGGTTACAGAGATGTGGACACGTGAAGGTAAACACCTTACATGAGGTTGTGACACAGTTACGTCCACATGTGGCAGCCATCGTGGGCTGCCGCGTCATTCACCGCCACCTGACGAGGACCCCACTGTGGGAGGAGGTGAAGGGAGGGAGTTTTCAGAGGAAAGCGCCAAGCCATTACGACTATATAGCACTGGGAAGGGGTCAGGATAAGGATTTGAGGATGGGACGGGTGGAAGGAATGGTGCCCCAACCACTTGGACGGTCGGGGATTGAACGCCGACCTGCATGAAGTGAGACCGTCGCTCTACTGTCCAGCCCAAGTGGTTGGGTGTAGGAGGAGGTGAAGGGAGATACACTTCAACCCGCAACCCGCTTCCCCCTCCTGTAGCCCGTGCTACAGGAGGGGAAGCGGGTAGGATTGACTGCAGGTGGTGGGGGTGTAGCAGGCACTGAAGGAGTAAGTGTGGAGGAAGTATAGAAAACATTAGGTTAATACGATTAATATGAAACGAAAGAGGCCGAGAGTTCTGAACTGTAAAATATCACACACGTGATAAGTAGTATATGTACAGGTAGTACATGTGTACAGGTAGTACATAACCTGTACACGACACATGTTACATGGTGGCCCGGTGCTGCGACGGCCAGTCTGACCTCTGACATTTGGGAGGCGCGGGTAAACAGCTGATGGATGTAAACAGACTGAAGGTTGGAGGTTTGCCGCCCTCTTAAGCGTTTATCTGTTGTGGCGTCGGCGGGCTGCCTCAGGTTGGCTGCGTCTGTGTTTGTGTGAGGGTGATGTACTGTTGTTTATCACCCCCTCTCCCCTCCTCTACCTCTCCCTCTCTCTCTCCCCACCACCACCACCACCGGCTCTCTCCCCACTCTCCCTCTATCACCACCTGTGATCAACCTTGACCTCCAGTGACCTCGGGTGTTTACCTGTGATCACATTGTATCTCCCTTGATCACCTGGATCGCCAGTGACCTCGGGTGTTTACCTGTGATCACATTGTATCTCCCTTGATCACCTGGATCGCCAGTGACCTCGGGTGTCGTCAAGGGGCCTGGACCACATGTAGGACCTGTTTATCAATTGTAGTTACAGGATGAGAGCTACGCTCATGGTGTCCCGTCTTCCCAGTACTCTTTGTCGTATAACGCTTCGAAACTTTGTGTATCGGACTTGCTGTAAGCGGGCCACTCAAGGCAGGTAAATGATGAATTGTAACATATTTACAATATTATGTAACAGTACACTTGGCCTGAATGGTTTGTTTATATTTCTCCAGAGTGGTGATTGGTGGTTGTCAAGACGGAGCAGGGATCAGTAGCTGCCCCTGGCTGCCTCTCCCCAAGAGGTAAGTGTCCGATGTGTTACTACAAGGTGTAGTGTGGATGGAACCGGTTGTGTGGTGCTGCTCCTGTGAGTGTGGTGCTGCTCCTGTGAGTGTGGTGGTGATTCTGTGAGTGTGGTGGTGATTCTGGGAGTGTGGTGCTGCTCCTGTGAGTGTGGTGGTGATTCTGGGAGTGTGGTGCTGCTCCTGTGAGTGTGGTGCTGCTCCTGTGAGTGTATTGCTGCTCCTGTGAGTGACTGAGTGACCTAACCTCAGAGTGTAGGCTGGGTGTGTGTGAGCTGCCCGCCACCTAAGAGGGCGTTCCCGTTGGACATGACGTTGTAAATCACTTGTACTACACCAGTTCTAAAATACTTATTCCCAGTCTAGAACGGCCGACTCAAGCTTCACATAAAAAACCTAGAGAAAATCCAGGGGTTTGCTCCAAAACTGGAGCCGGCGCTGAGGGGAACCAAGAAGGTGCAGCAAATCAATGTATTTCTAATCCATGAAAACGAGGTCAATTGAAGGTTGTTTATGACCAACCTATAGATTATTGACCAACCTGTTTGACTGTCGATAAAGAGACAGAGACAGACAGACAGACAGACAGACAGACAGACAGACAGACAGACAGACAGACAGACAGACAGACAGACAGACAGACAGACAGACAGACAGAGACAGACAGACAGAGACAGACAGACAGACAGACAGACAGACAGACAGACAGACAGAGACAAACAGACAGACAGACAGACAGACAGACAGACAGACAGACAGACAGACAGACAGACAGACAGAGACAGACAGAGACAGACAGACAGACAGACAGACAGACACCTATAAGGCAGGACAATATAAAGACTAAGCACTAAAGAGAGAGAAATAGAGAGCAGTACCACCAAAGCGGACAGACGGAGAAAAAAATATAATACACAGAGAAAGACAGAGAAATAGTGGAGGGAATTAACGGGTAGAATAAAGCAATATACATATATATCTAGTCTTAATAATGATATTTCCCTAGCGAATATAAACCTTTGTCCTTCTTGATAGCCTCTTATGCTGGACAATTGTCCTAAGATCGTTTCCACATAACTTGGCATAACTACAGAGTCACGTGTGTAAAACCTCTCTCTCTTGCACCTCCATTATTTCAATTATATAAACGCCGATAACAATTTGCAGAACACATTAAAGTTCTTTGTCAAGAGGGCTGCTTACACTACGGGGCTCGCCATAGCCCGTGCTGCTTGGAACTCTATGTTCCAAGTAGCGAATCTTAAACAACAACAACAACAGGGCTGCTTACTATGTACGGTGAAGCTGTTTACAATAATTATGATACTAATTACACTGTCAAAATAACTTTAATACAGTCCTAAATTAAGTTAAATAAAGTTCTAATTAAAGTTAAATAAAGGTGAAGTTAGCACCACGTGGCTAGAGTTCAGTGTTCATCCAAGAGTTCAGTGTTCATCCAAGAGTTCAGTGTTCACCCAAGGGTTCATCCAAGAGTTCAGTGTTCACCCAAGGGTTCATCCAAGAGTTCAGTGTTCACCCAAGGGTTCATCCAAGAGTTCAGTGTTCACCCAAGGGTTCATCCAAGAGTTCAGTGTTCATCCAAGAGTTCATCCAAGAGTTCAATATTCATCTAAGAGTTCATCCAAGAACTTAGTGTTCATCCAAGAGTTCAGTGTTCATCCAAAAACTTAGTGTTCATCCAAGAGTTCAGTGTTCATCCAAGAACTTAGTGTTCATCCAAGAGTTCATCCAAGAGTTCAGTGTTCATCCAAGAGTTCATCCAAGAGTTGGGTGGGTAACGGTAGTGTGAGGCAGAGTATCGTAACTACACTAATCATCCGTCATTAGGGAAGGCCATTATTACATCCCCCTAACTACACCCTTGTTACACTATATAAACCTTATAGTTATAATATATATAGCACTATACATGGTTACACCTATATCTTAACCTCACCGTGGCTTGCAGAATCGAGCTGCTTAGCTCTTGGACTCCGCCTTTCTAATCGTCGGTTGTCTAATGTACTGACACTCGATTTGCTACATACATTTCTCTTTCATACACACATACATACACATCTCTGTTATGTATAGCCCGAAGCAGCCGTGTATAATTCACAGATATATCTTGAGATGATTTCGGGGCTTTTTAGTGTCCCCGCGGCCCGGTCCTCGACCAGGCCTCATTGTATGTGAATACACATACACAAAATACTCTGTCATCAAACTTCTCTCTCCCACACACACACACACACTCCACATTCCTCCACACCCTACACACACACACACCCCTTACACATACCTCCACAATCCACACTCCATTCTAAACTTAGACGCTCACAGTAAATTATTTGCACCAGTCCAGATCTGGTAAATTTCCTCACACTCTTGGGGGGGGGGTTGGTTTTATGCTGTGAAATAATTCTTCATTTTGGCTGTCTGTCGGAAAGTCTGTGTCTGTCGGAGAGTCTGTGTCTGTCGGAGAGTCTATGCCTGTCTTTGTGGGTGTGTGTCTGTGTGTGTGTGTGTTTGTCATTGTATGAAAGGTGTCCCAGAATTATCTATCTATTTCTATGAAATTGGGCTAATCTATTAGAAACCTATCAAATTCATGTTATCTAATTTTAATACAATCACGCATAAATCATAAATCAATCTTTATTGAGAACTTTCAACATGTGTATTCAACGTCTGAATTTATATATATATATATATATATATATATATATATATATATATATATATATATATATATATATATATATATATATATATATATATATATATATAACTCCCAGGTACCTATTTACTGGTAAGTGAACAGAGAATCATGGTGAAAGAAACGTCTGCCCATTTGAGTACACAGACATTACAAAGATTCCTTATCATTACTGCCAAATACAAGTGAGAAAGCAGAGAATCAGAGCCTTCAAAATACAATTTTCAATGATCGTTAATTCACTTTCTAACAAGTTTAAGATATAGAAAATTCGGGTCATTTGAAGAAACTGCAAAACTCATAAGGTTATCTTGAGGTTATCTTGAGATGATTTCGGGGCTTTTTTTAGTGTCCCCGCGGCCCGGTCCTCGACCAAGCCTCCACCCCCAGGAAGCAGCCCGTGACAGCTGACTAACACCCAGGTACCTATTTTACTGCTAGGTAACAGGGGCATAGGGTGAAAGAAACTCTGCCCATTGTTTCTCGCCGGCGCCTGGGATCGAACCCAGGCGCCATTAGACAGATGTAGCATTAGACAAATTAAAGTTGGAAATGTTGCTGTTGATTGATTTGGATAATTTTGAGATGCAATTGATTTGCAGAGTGATCCAATTTGGAGATAACAAAATTTGATGATTGAACTAGAAGTAAAAAGTATTAACAGAGATGAGTTTATTGACTAGATTATCGCAGAAAATTGCTCGAAACGAGGTTTTGAAACAGAATTCCATTCCTGAAACTTTGGGAATGTGTGGAAACTTTAGAAAGTGTGGACATTAGTAAGTGTGCTTCCTATCAACATACAAAAAAATATTGGAAGTGTGTAATTTAGAAAGTGTGGAAACTTTAGGAAGTGTGGAAACTTTAGAAAGTGTGGAAACTTTAGAAAGTGTGAATAACTTTAGAAAGTGTGAACATAAGAAAGTATGCTTCCTATCAACACACAAAAAATGTTAAATTTTGAAAGTGTGTAATTTAGAAAGTATGAAGGAATTTGTGGATGGAAACACCTAACCAGTCCCGCGAATGGGAATTAAAATTCGGGTCCCCTTGAGTGTGAGTCGAGGAGGAAGACCACTATGCCACGGTAGTTGCAAGGGAACTTTTTTGCTGAGAGTGTAATGTTGATAGTGCCGGCAATGTTGCAGAGTGCCACAAGGAGCCACAAGGTGCCAAAAGTACCGCGGGGGGTGTAGTGAAGGTGTGTGAGTGTGGTCGGGGGTCGACAACAGGGGAGAAGGCTGCTAATCTCCAGCCAAGATATATAAAAAAACTTGTTTTAAATATTGCAGTTGTTTAGTCTACTGTGGTTAAGAGGATGCTGGGCAGGCGTCGACCACACGCAAACACACACACGGGCCATTTACAGAGTTAAATTAGGTTGTTACACAGTCTGGGCTCTCTCTCTCTCTCTCTTTCTCTCTGTCTGTCTCTCTCTCTCTCTCTCTCTCTCTCTCTCTCTCTCTCTCTCTCTCTCTCTCTCTCTCTCTCTCTCTCTCTCTCTCTCTCTCTCTCTCTCTCTCTCTCTCTCTCTCTCCACATACACATATACACTCTCCTGTACCTGGTGTATATACAGTATCAGAGGGGCTGTATCATTATTCTGACCCAATTCACTAACTACTCACTAGCCAGCCTCGCTAGTTACCAGGCAACGCCGCTAGTTACCAGCCAACGCCGCTAGTTACAAAGCAACGCCCTAACTACCAGCCAACGAAACGGTTAGGTGCGTTTCCTATCACCTGATGCCGCTATTCACCAAGCAGTAAAATAGGTGCCCGGTATTAGGCAATTGGTAATTGTGTTGAGAGGCGTGTGGAAGCGCAGTTGTCCACGAGGCCTGTTGATACGTGCTTGCGAAGAGGGCAAATGTTGACAGGGGGAAGATAGCAGGCTTGGCGGCTTTGTTGTGGCGAGGAAGATGAGAGTGTAAGAGAAAAAGAAAGTTGTGGAAAGGTTAGTAATGCAAGCAGGCGACTGAAGACGCCCCGAGGAGGTCTATTTCAAGCACTCCAGGAAGCAGGGAGGGCTGAGAGGCAGCAGGAGTCTTAGGGGTGTATATACATTCCTTGTTCCTCCTCGTTCAGTCCTGGTGGTAGGCACTTGTGGGAGAGGAGGGGGGGGGGGTAGCTCTCTCTCTCTCTGACTCTCTCTCTGTCTCTGTCTCTGTCTCTCTCTCTCTCTCTCTCTCTCTCTCTCTCTCTCTCTCTCTCTCTCTCTCTCTCTCTCTCTCTCTCTCTCTCTCTCTCTCTCTCTCTCTCTCTCTCTCTCCGTGTTA